TTGCATGAGTAAGTGATTAGATAATTAAAAATTATATTTATCAAAATATAACATCAAGTAAATCAAAATAAAAAAAAACGGAAAAAACCCGCGACGTAAAACGGGTGATCAACTAGCAACAAGAACAATCAAAATAATTTGTTATTAACAACTTTTAAAATAAACCCACGCGTAGCGTGGGTATTTATCTAGTATACTTAATAAATGCTTGTGATGGTTTTCTTTATCATAATTTTTGTAAAATATATATTGATTTGTTATTAAAAAAATTCAAAATTATTACAATTCATTATGATTTTTTCGTTTGATATTTTTTTAAATAATTTTTGAAATATATTCCCCCGCAACATCGCGGGGGTCCTGAGTCCTAGTGTAATAAATAACGATGGTTGTGTTGAAAACGCCATTATGACTATTCCCTTGCAGGATTTTATAATATTGCTTAATTCATTTTGTGCCCTCTCTTAATTATATATAACGAGATAAATTTTACTGATCACTCCCAAACTAGCTAGTATATAACTTTGAAAACGCGTTTATGACTATTCCCTTTCATCTGTATTACAGTACGTACTATACTTTCCTTCATAATAATCGTATATAAGATGAGTATATATGTCAAAGATCATCACATCTATAAAAACACAAATAATGTAATTGTATATAAATAAATTAATACACTCTCTCTTTTCATTTTCTATTTTTTTTTATTGTAAGATATGTCCAATGGAAGTGCAATGTATCACTTAGTTTATTTTGGATATGTGAATATCTTTGATAGAGATAATTTCTTTACATACAATTATATATATTATTTGTTATATATGATCTTTGACATATATGAACATTTTGCATGCGATTCTTATTCGAGAAAGGAATGCATTACTGTTATTGAATATTGATGGTGCCTAAAGTCAAAGCTTAATTAACATTGTTATCTTTGTTCATGAAACCGTAAAAATTGTTTTATACAACGGGAAAAAAGTGTTTCTTTCCCATATTACTGTATAATTATAATTTTTTTTTTGTTAGAACCCAGTTCTTACACCACACAATAAATTAAAGCCTTTTCGTTTTGTTTTTACCAAGTGTCCGTTCTAAAAGATTAAAAATAATAATATGAGAATTTTAAAGTATATAATTAAAATTTTCTAATTATTTGATTTGTTTTTGTGAACTAAGACCATCTCTATCCATCAGATACTATGTGGGTGTCTCAAAAATATTATTTTAATCATTTTGTAATAAATAAATTATTTATTTAAATTATAAATTATAAAAAGAGAATTTGGCCAATAATATAAGGACAAGTGGAGACACAGTTTCTCAAAATTTCTCAAACCAGAAACGGTCTCTATCTTCTCTCCTACTTTTTTTCTTATTTTTTATTTTTTTAATGTTGAGACATTCCTCACGAGACTACTGTTGGAGATGCTCTAATAGTGGAGTATTGATCCTTGTAGACCTCATCTCCTCCTCAACTGCACTTGTGATCTATACAATTTAAGAATCATACATGTGAATAGTCGTAAACGCGTTTTCAACACATTCATCGTTATTTCTTTGATTTTAAGCTATATATGAATCATGCATGTGACTCTCCCGTCTACTTTGATTTTTTTTTAGTCTGGCGATTTCTTTTAAGAAAACAAACATCTGATTTGACAAGCCCCGAAACATGAAACAAACATATAAAAAAAAAACATTAGAAAAGAACAAGAAAACGGATAAGCTGACGAAGGATCATTCACGACCCCTTCCTTATTACAAACGGACACACAAACACAAACACACAATCACACACACACAAACACACAATCACAAACGGTCATGATCAAATTGCGCTTAATCAGACAGAGTCGATTCCGTAAAAGAAGAGGTCATCAAACCGGTCATTGGTTGGAGCTTTACCACCATGCATCACAAGTCCTTTCTTACCATCAATGGTCCCAGTCGTGGAGGCGGTCCATCCTCTGCTACTCGGAGTCTCCTCCTCTTCACCAAACTTATCTAACCTCTCCCATTGCAACGTCTCTGTATCCAACGTGAAAGTCCCATCGATCAATTGACCCGGACCTACGTGAGCTAGTGGATCCATCGCAATCTCACCTCCGAACATCACAATGTGTTTCCCAAGAGCCGCACTAGCGAATACACTCCTTTCGGAAGGTCTCACACCGAATGTTTCCACTTGTGTCCAACTGTCTTCAGCAGGATCGTAGAAATGAACATCATCTATTTCACATCCGTTAAATCCATACACAACCCATACTTTCCCTTGCACCACTTCGAGCCCTGCTCCTCCTCTTATGCTAAAGGAATCTCCTGGATTCGAACAATGAAACCACTTCTTATCAACGATATTGTAAGAGTCTAGTGTCTTGATTCGTTCCCTAGCACCCACTCCACCGAAAACGTAAACGTTTTCCTCATCGGCTGCCATCGAGTGGAAACTACGTGGAGTAGGTCCTTCTTCTACCGGAGTTAGCAGTTTCCACTCGTTTGTGGTTGTGTCAAATGAGTAGAAACCGTTGTACTGGCGTGAAGCGTCTCGGCCTCCAAAGACATAGAGGGTCGATCCTATTGACACCATACGGACACCTAAGCAAGAGAGGTGTGGAACGTCTCCGGTGGCTGGAGAAATGGACCAAGTCCGGGTCTCGAGGTCAAAGACGTAAAGGTGTTTGTCGATGGGCTGATTTGGTGTGAACTCCCCACCAAAGGAGTAAATCTTGTTACCTATTTGTGCAATGCCATGCGAGCATCTTAGCCCTGGACACTCTCCGTTTTGCTCCACCTTATCATTTCATTAATAATATATGTTAGCTATTTTTCCTTTTTTTTAACGGATTATATTCTGATTATAGTGAACTTCCATAATTGTAACTTTGTAAGATCAAATTAATGAAAATATAAATTGCAAACTGTCATTGATTATCTGAATTCCAATTTTTCCCTCTTTTTGTTTTCTACATTTTTTCCTTCGCGTACGTGATTTGCTGTGGTAACAAATAACAATCAAAAACCTACATTTTTTCTTTCGCGTACGTGATTTGTTGTGTGTGTGTGTTTTTTTTTTTTTTTTGTGTTGGTTTAAGAGATTACTACCTTAATCCAGTTTCCAAGCAATTTGGGAGTGGATGGCAAAGTAACGTAGGCCCCGAGGGAGTGTAGAACGTCGGTGGAACGTCCGTGAAACCCAACGACTTTTCCACCTTGTAGCACAAACTTAACCCCATGTCTTTTTTCGATAGGATGAGAGGTTTTGCCTGTAAAAGTCTTGAATGAAAGAAACGTGATCATTTCTGAGGTCATATCATTAACTTTCTCGCGGTAACCTTCCACATATACGATGTAGTCATCCGCCTCAATCTCAAACTGCAAAGAAACCAAACAGTTTTCAATGCAAAAACCAACAAACAAAAGACCCTCTTGACCAATCACAACATAGATAAATCTATTTTAGTACCTCATCAACTCCTAGCTCTGTCTTCGTTCCATGTTCATCTCCAACAACTACTTGAGAACCATTGACATACTCAAACTTGACGAAGGCTATACCATACTGGCCTTGCCCTACATATACCTTTCTAACATTTTCGTAAACACCATCATCCCATACATCTCCCGTCTCACCACCCTTTGCTTCTAGCTTTTTGGCCATCTCTTTTGCTTGCGTTTGATAAATCTTACGAATAGTACCTGCAGTTAGAAACGTAACCAAATCCTTAATTTATCAAAAGATTATACATATAATGTAACCAAATACTGTACTAACTATAACCATATAAGAGAATGGGGGAGAGGTAGAGAGATAACCTGAGAAGAAAGTAATGATTAATTGGTGCAGTGATCTATGTTTGGGAAATTTCATGGGTATTTATTGACCTGCGGAAGATATGAATGATGGTCGATATAGGGAAGACTTTTATTTTACATGATAAATATATGGCAACTCGTTATTGTTTTTCTTTTCTTTTATGAGAAGAAAGATTTCTCCTTATACGTAATAAAGATCTACATCATGGCCACGTTCTTCAAATAAGTATAATCGGCCCTTGCATTTTGGCTTAATGGTAGTGTTGCCCTCAATTCTCAAAATGGAACTCACTTTAAGAATTAATGGGTTGTATGGTAACTGGTTGATAAATTGATGTGAGCTAGCAAGACATGTATATTTAACAATACTAATTTGCGGTAGGAAATCAATCATATTTTCTTGTAAGATTGGCAACCAATATACGTGTCCACCCGCGTTTTATTTCGTATGTAAACAATATTTTCACTAGGTATGGTTCATTTGAACCAATTCTGTAACATAAGCTGTTGACCAAAAACAACAAAATTCGTGAGGTTTACTGATTTTGGACATAAATTAAATAAATGACTATAATGGCACGTAAACAAGGGAAATTCTATCCAGTTAGAATATGCTACTTGTTTTATAAAAAAATAGAATGTATAAATATTTGGTTGATAGTTTCTAAAAGTTTTCCGGACAACAATATAATAATGTTGAGCAGGAAAAGAGAAGATTATTTATATAAAAATATAGTTGAGAAGTAAAAATAATTGTTTTCAATAGAAATAAAAATAATAATTATTTGGATTAAAATATAAAATAAATTAGTGTTCTCAAATCTTCTTCGATTGTTTCAAAGACAATAAATTTCGTTTGGATGAATTAGGTAAGGTAATTTGATTTTGACATAAATGAAATAAATGACTATAATGGCAAGTAAACCAGGGAAATTCATTTAGAGTATACTACTTTTTTTTCTTTTGTCAAAAGAATATCCTACTTTAAGATTCTCATATATCATATGAACAAATTACATTAAAATATATTTTTAGAATATACAATGCCAAAATATATTTAACAAATCAATAGTGGGAGTTGGCATTGACATGGTAAACGAAAAAGCAAAATATAAACTATGCAATTACATATTGGGCCTTATAGAAACTACAAACTCCCAAAAATAGAATACTGGCCTCATAATCTAAAACCCAAATAAGCCCAAAATCATTAGTGAAGAAACCCATGCATTCCTCTGTTCGCGGCTTCAAATTTATGTGAACTATTTAGGTAAGTCATGCTTCCGATTCCTTAATGAAAATGGTGTTTGATGAAAAAAAAAAAAAAATTAGGTAAGTCATGCCATTTTGGTTTATCACTTTCTCGTAATCTCATAAATCATGACAGCTGTTTAATTGGTTGTAGCTTGTAACTAAAATTTGTTGTAACCCAACAAGTTCGTAATAATAAGTTTTCTTTTTTATAAAGAACCGTAAATAACATTTAGAAAATCATCTTATATAATATTTTGGTAAAATAAAATATTTTAAACAATAACAGAAAACTAAAATCGTGGTAAAAGAAAATCAAGATTGGCCGTACGCCCGTACCAAAGAGTATGTGTATCAATATATATATAATCCCAACCCACACTTATTCATCACTCTTGTATCTTCCTTCAATCTGATGAACCAAGAAACCTAGAGGTTGCAATTATCTAATTTCTACGTTTAATTTCTCCCATAACTTTCTTATTTTTTCATAAATTTTTATTTAGATCTTCAGTATCAGTGATTGGAAATTGATCATCTTATAAATTATTAATGATCTTCCTTGTAATTACCGTAGTTCATCCCCTTATTATTAAAAGGGAAGTACAAATTGAAAAATGGTCTAATTTGGCCTCAATTTCAATTTCAATTTTAGATTTTGTACATTGTTGATCAAAATCGTCAAGGGTAATTTGGTCATTAAATCTTATTAAACGATTAGGGGATCCGCGTGTTTCTAATCGGGTGGTTAGTGGATCAAATATTGCCTAATACATAAAACGAATCACTAATCGGGTTTAACAACTTCAAAAAACAATTATTCGATCCTAACCATTCAACATATATGGTATCTAATTAAAGGCATATTCGAATTACATTGTAGGATATTCTCTATATCTCGCCTAATTTCTAACTAAATTTCTTAAATATTTGATCTAATATAATCCTAACCATAAACTACAACACAATATCTTTATTTTCCCTAAAATCCTGTATCATTCATTTTGATGTCAATCAAGAAGATATGATAGTTAACGTATCCAATATTTTGTGCTTCTTCTACAAGATTTTCAAAACTTTTAAAGCCAAAAACCCTAACATTCTACTTCACTATAAATATCAAACGTCTTTCTTATTTCTTGCAAGCACATTGCAGACAAAATATTCCAGACAGGTGATCGACAAAGAAAGGAAAATCGATTCAAGAGGAGATGAAGAAGAACTCCCCGTCGAGAAATCGAGAAAGCTCAACTCATGGAGAATATGAGCAAAAGGGAGATGGGATACAGAGATTGTGCACAAACTCATCTGCAGGAACAAGAAAGTCAAGGCTCAGTTAAGATCAAGCATAATCAGAGCAAAATCAAAATCGGAATCAAAACAAAGAGTGACGATTCCGAAGCAAATTGAAAAGCTTGTGAAGAATGAAGCGTTGAGGGAGAAAGCGAACTCACCAGTGAGTTGTGCCAATGTCGCAAAAGGGATTTGCATAGTGAGGAGGCGAATCACCAGAAGAAGAACAAAGAGCAAGGGAATCAAATCCCTAAATCAAAATTTGGGGATAAAGCAAATGAATCAAGAGGGAGTGTTGGATGTTGATTCATAACTTAATCCTACATAAGAGAAAAGACAAAGAGAAGTGTGAGAAGATGAAGATGATGATGAAAGGAGAAGAATCGTAAGAAGCATAAGGTGAAGAGAAGAACAAGTGTTTTGTTGTAGAAGGAGGAGGAAGAAGAAGAAAGAAGAAAAGTCCATTGGGCCATATAAGTAATTAGGGCCCATATGTGTTAATGAGTTTCGTTTATTAAGAAGAGTATTAGGTTATATGGTTGTAAGAGAACATTATCTAAGTGATTAACAATATAGTCTTTGGAGGAAAACGGCTCTTGTGTCTATCTAGAACAAACACACCAAATTTGAGTTAGAGATAGAGAGGAAGAGATCTAACCAAAGAGATCTAAACATTCTCTTCTCTCTACTTAACAAAAATCAAAACGTTTTTGATTCAGTTAACTGTAAAAAACATATAACACTTTTATAAAATTATAAATTATACATTATTTAATATATAATATGAAAACCAAAAATCGATACCCGCGATGTACCGCGGGTTGAATAAAAAACTTGAATATATTAGAAATTTGATATATCCATAATCAAAAAGTTTATACGATATTAAATTTTGACACAGATATATAAAATAATACACATGTTTAACCACATTAAAACCCCTTCTCCTAATTAAAAATTTAACAACAAACAAAACAAAAAAAACATATTTTATAAATTGTGTATATAGAACATTATCAAATACTTAATAGGAAAACTGCATAAAACCGATGCCCGCGGTTCACCGCGGGTTTAATCCTAGTATATATAATTTTAAAAGTACTGTATGTATAGTATTTGCTCTTTATGCGTGGATTATTTGTTGAAAGCGATTGCCAAATCTGTTTTCGTCTGCATGCTGTAATTAAAAAAAGTAGTATTTTTCATTGACATATAAGATTTTATTTTGGATAGATTAAAGTTATTATTTCCACATTGGTCGGATTGTTGTAATAATAATTTTTTTTAATAAAAAAAAATGGTTTTCAGGAAACAATGTCACAGAAAGTAGGACCTTTCGGTGGTAACAAAGGACATGCATTCGACGATGGTGTCTTTGGTTATGACGATGTGAAGAAAGTGATTCTTGGGGAAGACGATCACGGCGTGATTTATATGAAAATCGAATACGTCAAAGACGGAAAATTCGAGACACAAGTACACGGAAAAACTACCGAAACTCGCAAAGTGGTTGCAAAAATTGAACACATATGGTTCTGAATTTCTCACTATGTTGATAAAATATTCACATTGTTCTGTTTTAACTGCTCTTTTTTTTTTTTTTTTACAGTTTGAACTTAACTATCCAGACGAATACATCACATCAATTCAGGGAAGCTATAGCGATGTTTCGAAATATAATTCAACTGTTGTGAAGACGCTTATATTCAAGACATCACACGTTTGGTAAGACTGCGTTTTTCAAAACAGATTTTGTGGTGGAAGGTAAAGGTGGAGCCAAGCTTATCGGGTTCCATGGAAGGTCGGGTGATGCTATTGATGCCATAGGAGCTCACTTTTTTGCGTCTTCCCCTCCTCTGAAGCAGTTAGAACCTCAAGGTGGAAATGGAGGAAGTGCTTGGGATGATGGCGTTTACGACGGTGTAAAAAAGATCTTGGTTGGACAAGATGGTAATCGCTTAAGCTATGTTAAGTTTGAGTACGTTAAAGGAAGCACATCGATACCACATTCTCATGGAAAGAGAAAACAAGAACCGAAAGAGGTAATCTTTTGGAAAGTTCTAAGCTCGAAGTTTTTGTCTGTAGAGTTTACTTAAGAATTACGATGAGTTTCTCTTTCATTTGTAGTTTGTGCTGGATTATCCAAATGAACATATTGTATCAGTGGAAGGAACTTCTGATGGTTTTGTCACATCGATAACCTTCAAGACATCAAAGGGGAAAACTTCTACTTTTGGAAACTTAATTGGTACGAAATTCGTCTTTGAGGAAAAAGATTTCGTGCTTGTAGGATTCCGTGGACGATCCAATGATCTCATTGATGCTCTCGGAGCACATTTTGGTCCGGCACCACCTATTGTTCCGGTGCCAGTTCCGGCTAAGAAATTGGAAGCAAAAGGTGGAAATGGAGGAGCCGCATGGGATGATGGTTTCTATGAAGATGTGAGGAAGATATATATAGGACAAGGTGACTCTGGTGTGTCCTTTGTCAAGTTTGAGTATGTTAATGGCAAGGAGCTTGTAGCTGGAGTTGGTCATGGGAAGATGTCAATTCTTGGAACAGAGGAGGTTTTTGTGCTCTGTTCTCGAGTTTACCAAATAATGTTTTTCTTGAGATCCAATTTTCACGGGTCTTTGTTTTTCTTTTTGTTGCAGTTTGTGCTAGATTTTCCAAATGAATACATCGTTTCGGTGGAGGGATGTTACGATAATGTCTATGGAATTGAAGCCGAGTTGGTAACGATGCTTAGATTCAAGACAAACAAACGTACATCTCCACCGTTTGGGCTCGATGCAGGCACACCGTTTACGTTGGAGATGAAAGACCATAAGATCGTTGGATTCCATGGCAAAGCTGGAGATTTTGTTCATAAAGCTGGTGTCTACGTCTCGCCAATCTTCAAGTCTTAAACCTTTGAGAGCTCTCAGTAGTCTCCTTAAAATAAAATGAAAAAGCCCTAAATGCTTGTTGCTCCTCTACTTCTAGCTACTCTCTTTAAACTATGTGTTGTGTGTTCTCATGTCGTTAGTTTGTTCTGTCTTGTGATGAAGTGGTCTGTCTCTTTGAATAAAGAATTATCGTTTGTGTTGGAATAGACATCTACGTCCAATAATCACAAAATCTTTTATCAGGATTTGGGTTGGAATTTGTATCGAGTAAAAAGGATTGATTTGTTTGATGGTATGTTTCGATGTCTGAGGATCAATCGTGGAATGGGATGTTTCTTTACAATGTTAATAACTATTGTACTAAAACTTACGTAGTAAGCAATAGCTACTATCCAGTCTCGGTATAGTAACAAAACAGGTTTATGACTCTGTTCTGATGAATATGATGACAAAAAGTATAGAATTGATCCCTTTCTTTCTAGATCATTTTTCACATTGGTTGATTTATATATGTGTATAAAATATTATCTCTATATTAAAGATAATCACATATATATCCATGATCGATCAATGCTTCAATTTTCTTTCCAACGTTCACTATTTAAACCCATGCATAATTCACAGTTTCACAAACACACACAAATCATGAAGAGAAAAATTTGACGTGTGTGGAAGTGAAACCCTTTCATTTGTTCGCGACTTCGTATTTTTACGTGAAATATTTAGGTAAGTCATGCCTTTCTCTCTCTCTTTTTTTTTTTTAACCAAATCATGCCTTTCTGGGTTTGTCACTTTCTCATAATCTCATAATATATGACTGCTATTTGGTTGTAAGTTGTAACTAATTTTATTTTTAAAACACAATTACCACCAATATATATATTATTATTATCTACTATACTTTACCAAATTCCTTGTATCGAATCCTTTAACAAAAAAAAAATCCTTGTAATGGTAAAATTAATTCCACCTTGCAATATGTAATGTCTTCAAATATTTACTATTTACTTGATTTATCAAAATTTCTTGAATAATATTTAGTGTTATAAATTATGCAGATTTTAAATTTTCAAAGAAACTAAAACAAAATTTTGAAAAATTAAATTAATTCTGCTTTATTTAGTCTATTCTTGTCCTACCATTTTCATCTCAAATTAAGTACCTTACAAAAAACAAAAAAAGCAAAACAAAACGTAAATTTAGTATTATTTTCCTTAAAAAAAATTATTTTGTGTCCTTGTGAGGAACGACGATCGAAAACGAGAAGAACGAAAAATTATTACGCACCGAACGTAACGTAGAAGTTAGAACAAAGACTAAAAATGAGAAAGAGGTTTAGGTATATCTTGATCAAAATATTCATGATTATGGTTGAGTTTAATTTGGTTTACGTATTATTTGTTTTTAATTTTTCAGAAGTCCACTCCACTAATGGCTGTTGATATCTTGCAATTATTTTCATATCTCAATAACTATTGTTTACTCTTAGTTAAATTATTGGGATTACTATGCATGATGAGAAGATGATTACAATATTATAGTCTTCTAATAGTTAATACTATATATACTTTTAAAATTATAAGTTTGTACCCTCTTAATTAGTATTAAATAGATAAGGTCAATGAGTAGGCAGGCAAATTATCATTGATTTTTTCAATAATAAACAATATGCGGATTCGTATTCGGATGTACCACATCCATTATAAATAACACAAAACCACTAGCTTACAAGTCTAAATGGTAACCAAACAATATTACTATTGAGCTAGAGTAATTTCTCTCGATTGTTTTGCATTCGCAATAGCTACTTATTATTAAATACATACTACACATGTTAACCTATTTCGACAAATTATGTATTAGGGATAATAGTGTATCATATTGGAAAGGACAATGGATATTAACTAGTATATAAGATATATGAGCCATATCATTCATTGTAAATTGGTTTTGAGTTAGAAGCTCATATTCTAATATGGTATCAGAACTCGATTCATACGTGTCTAAATCCATAATCGGTCTGATCCAATAGTTGGTCTGCCGATCCTTGTCCGAACATACCGAGATCAATGGCTAGAAGAGTCATCATCTCGAAGGGACATATTAGAGATAATAATATCTTACACTAGAAAGAACAAAAGATCTTGACTAGTATATAAAATATATAAGTTAATCTATTCATTGTAAATTTTAAGTTAGAAATCCATATACTAATATTATGAATCATATTAAGCTTCTATCCATTAGATTAATATTAGTAACAATGTAAAGGTACCATAATAAATCTTTTTTCCAAAGAGACCATTTTTTTTTTTTAGCAATACGCTTAGCAAAATTTACAAATATTTCATAAATCAGTTGTAAGAGCACCTCCATTATTTAGATACTCTTTTAGTATCTCAACAACAATATATTATTATTATAATATAATTTAAACAAATAATTAAATTTTAATATTAAAATAAAATTATGCCACTTATATGATGACAAATGGTTAGAATTGTTCTAATGAGTTTTTTAAAGGTTTGAACCAGTGCTTAATCTCTTTTTTAGTTTTATTTTTATTTTTTATTATTTTATTTTCTAGATACCCTATTAGAACTCTTGGATGGCGATGCTTTAAGAAGACTTTCAAAAAGTAAATATGAACATGCGTTTGAACATGCTGAGTTATGACTTAGTCATTTCTATTCAGTGATTTAAATTATATTTTTTATTGTTGAAAATAATGTTTTAAGGCTTTTAAAACATGTTCATGCACTAACTGCATAGTCTAACTTATAAATTGCAACTTGAACCCTTAACTAATAATCAATCGTACATAATATAATTGATATACGACCATGTGAAATTTAAAATAACAAATTAGCTCGCTGCCATCGTTTCAACTTTCATGGCCAACCACAAACATAAAGACGATTAGTTGAGAAGATATGTAAGTATATGAATATTTGAACATGCGATTATAATTTTTTTTGGTAATGTTTTTTTTTATAGGCCTCGTGATCCACGAAACTATATACTATTATTATTTCGACTAGTACTAACTGTTCAATGGCCTATATGCGGATATATGGTAATATCCAAGAGGTCAATATAAATACACATACGATTCACTTAAATTGATCATAGCACCGATCACAATCTACTCTCTTTAGAAGGTCATCTCTCTATTCCTCTCTATTTTGTAAAAATTGGTTAATAGTAGAAACTAACAAATTATTTTTGCCACTACAGAAATTCGTAAGTTTGATCAAGAAGCAAAAGATGGCCCAAAAGGTGGAAGCACAAGGAGGGAAAGGAGGCAACCAATGGGACGATGGATCCGTACATGACGCTGTGACCAAGATTCAGGTCGGAGCAGGTGGACTCGGCATTCAATACGTTCAGTTTGATTATGTCAAGAACGGACAAACCGAACAAGCTCCTCTTCGCGGTATCAAAGGCCGTGTTATGCCAGCTGATCCGGTTCCTCTATCTTTTCCTTGCCCATTAATCTTCTTCTTTTCTATATATAGATTTTGAAGTTTTTGACATTTTGATCTTGTTTCATGCACAGTTTGTGATTAACCATCCAGACGAACATCTAGTTTCTGTAGAAGGTTGGTATAGCCCTGAAGGTGTCATTCAAGGGCTTAAATTCATCTCCAACAAGAAGACATCTGATGTAATTGGATACGAAGATGGTACTCTATTCACTCTCAAAGTTCAAGACAAGAAGATCATCGGCTTCCATGGGTCTGCCGGAGACAATCTTAATTCTCTTGGGGCTTACTTTGCTCCGTTGACTAGTACAACTCCGTTGACTCCTGCTAAGCAGCTACCGGCACTTGGTAGTGATGATGGAGCTGCTTGGGATGATGGTGCTTACGTTGGTGTTAAGAAGGTGTACGTAGGACAAGCCCAAGATGGTATCTCAGCCGTTAAGTTTGTGTACGACAAAAGTCCTGAGGAGGTCGTAGGAGAAGAACATGGAAAGAGTACTCTACTCGGATTCGAAGAGGTAAATCCTTTCTTTCTATTTTTGTTGAATTTGAATATATAGAGATATTCTTCGATCAGATGTATTCAATTGTTTTATTTGCTTGCAGTTAGTACTTGACTATCCAAGTGAATACATCACCGCAGTGGAAGGCACCTACGATAAAATCTTCGGCAGTGAAGGCTCCGTTATAACTATGCTTAGGTTCAAGACTAATAAGCAAACATCTCCTCCCTTTGGACTTGAAGCTGGCACAGCCTTCGAACTCAAAGAGGAAGGCCACAAAATCGTTGGCTTCCATGGAAGAGCCGGTGATCTGCTTCACAAATTTGGAGTTCATGTCAGTCCCGTCTCCAACTGATAATGGAGATCTTTATCTTTGCATCCATGCGTCTAATAAATTATCAAATCTATCTTCTAAATATGTCGTTTGAGGATATTCATGCCTCTGGTGACCTTTAATAAGTGTTTTAAGTGTTGTCTCTTGTGATATTGGTTTTTCTTTGATGTGCTTGTGCTCCATTATAATAAAGGAAGTTTGTTCCATCCATCTCTTCTAATTTTCATTTTTATATGTTTGTGATACTAATTCTACTTACTATAATTTAAACCAAAGTCTCAACGTATGAATTGTACGATTTAAAATACAAAAGTATATATTTTTGGATCCAAAATATAGTTGTTCGTATTTTCTCAGAAACAAAGCCTTAGTTTTATTTTTTTATCTAGGTTGTGACCAAAAATTGAAGTTTTTTTGCCTTCTCCAAACATAAAAAAATTATTAGTTGAAAAGTATATGAGTTGGCCAAAACAAATACATTTGCAGTCGAGCTATAGAGTTCTCATATTTTGACAAATTATGAATTATATTAAGCTTCTATTAATTAGATTGATATTACTTATTTAGTAACAGTGTAAAGGATACAATTGTATATACTACCAAAGAAAAAGAATTTGTTTTGGAAATACGGAGAAAATAATTTGTTTTAGAAATACGGTTCCCAAAGTTTTAATAATATTTCCTAAATCAGTTGTAAGAAGATTTTTTAAAAATAATTTCAGATCCATATGACCCGGTTCTTGTTTCTAGATTGAACGTTACAGAAAATTGTATTATATATCTACTCTTTAACTTGGTTCTAATTTCTCTTCGGTGATTTCAAATTTTAAACATGTTCATACAATAATTATCAAATCGTCAACCAATTAGACTCCTAATAAGGGAGGTCACTAATTGGAGAATTCTAACTTATATAAATTGCAACTTGAACCCTTTACAAATAATAACGTACATAATAAAATTGATAGACGACTCTGTGAATTTTCTAATAATAACTAATTAGCTCGCTGCCATCGTTTCATCTTTCATGGGCCAACACCAATTAATATAAAAGACGATTAGTTGAGAAGTTGTGCAAGTAAAAAAGTATATGAATATTTGAATTAAACGTGCGTTTCTTCCGGTAATGTTTCTTTTAATATGCCTCGTGGATCACGAAATAATAGATTATTATTTCGATCGACTAGGACGATCAATGGCCTAAATGCGAATCAATGGTTATATCCAAGGCGTCAATATAATAAATACACCTACGATCCACTTAAATTGATCACATCAGCGATCACAATCTACTCACTTTTGAAGGTCCTCTCTCTTTTCATCTCTATTACTAAAAATTGGTTAATAATCGAAATTAACAATTTGTATTTGCAATTATAGTAACTCGTAAGATTGATCAGCAAACAAAATATGGCTCAAAAGGTGGACGCAAAAGGAGGGAAAGCAGGCAACCAATGGGACGATGGATCCCAACATGACGCCGTGACCAAGATTCAGGTCGCAGCAGGCGCAAATGGAATTCAATACATTCAGTTCGATTATGTCAAGAACGGACAAACCGAACAAACTCCTATTCGCGGTATCAAAGGCCGTACCATTCCAGCTGATCCGGTTCCTATACACTTTCCTTGCCTATTGACTTCTTCTGTTTATATAAAATTATCTCTAGTTTTATCTTGAAGTATTGATCATATTGACCTTGATCTCTACAGTTTGTGATTAACCATCCTGAGGAGCATCTAGTTTCTGTAGAAATTTGGTATAGACCTGAAGGTGTTGTTCAAGGGCTTAGGTTCGTATCCAACAAAAAGACTTCTGGTTTCATTGGATATGATCTTGGTACTCGATTCATTATGCAAGTTCAAGACAAGAAGATCATTGGCTTTCATGGGTCTGCGGGAGACAATCTTAGTTCTCTTGGGGCTTACTTTGCTCCGTTGACTAGTACAACTCCGTTGACTCCTGCCAAGCAGCTACCGGCACTTGGTAGTGATGATGGAACTGCATGGGATGATGGTGCTTACGTTGGTGTTAAGAAGGTGTACGTAGGACAAGCCCAAGATGGTATCTCGGCCGTTAAGTTTGTGTACGACAAAAGCCCTGAGGAGATCGTAGGAGAAGAACATGGAAAGAGTACTCTACTCGGATTCGAAGAGGTATAATGATTTCTCTCTCTTTTTTGTTGAATGTGAAAAATAATAAAATATACATATAGAAAATAAATATTACACATATATAGATATACGTTTTTATAAGAGAATCCAATTCTCCTTCCATTTCCTTAATGATGTATTCAATTATACGTCTATTTTTTATTTTGAATATAATTTAACATTACATTAAAAAAAAATTGATGTATTCAGTTGTTTTATTGGGTTCCAATAACTGCAGTTCGTACTTGACTATCCAAGTGAATACATCACCGCAGTGGAAGGCACCTATGATAAAATCTTTGGGAGTGATGGCTCAGTCATAACTATGCTTAGGTTCAAGACTAATAAGCAAACGTCACCTCCCTTTGGACTTGAAGCTGGCACAGCCTTCGAACTCAAAGAGGAAGGCCACAAAATCGTTGGCTTCCATGGAAGAGCCGGTGATCTGCTTCACAAATTTGGAGTCCATGTCCGTCCCGTCTCCAACTGATAATGGAGATCTTTATCTTTGAATCCATGCATCTAATAAGTTATCAAATCTATCTACTAAATTTGTCATTTGAGGTCTCTTCATGTCTCTTGTGACCTTTAATAAGTGTTTTAAGTGTTGTCTCTTGTGATGTTTTTTTTTCTTTGATGTGCTTGTACTCCAATTTAATAAGGAAGTTTGTTCCATCTCTTATAATTTGTATTTTCTCATTTGCATAATTCTATTATGAAATTGTACAATTTGAAAAACAAAATAAGTATAAGAGTATTTTAGCTTTTTTGGGGTAAAATATTTTAATATTCCTCGTGGATCACGAATTATAGATTAGTATTATTTAGATATTAGAATTGTGTTAATTAATTAAATAATGGCCTATATGCCGATCTAGCTATGAGATAAATATCTTGATATTAATTAGATTATCTTTTGGTAAAATATCTTGGCGCCTAATTCGAAGAGGTCAATAAATTGAAAATTGTAAAATATCTCCGGCAAACCCATGAGATATCTTTTCCTCTCTATTTTGTAAAATTTGGTTAAAGTTGAAATTAAAAATTGTTTTTGCTGTTTTAGTAACTCATAAGACTGGTAAAAAGCAAAGAACGATGGCTCAAAAGGTGGAAGCACATGGAGGGAAAGGAGGCAACCAATGGGACGATGGATCAGAACACGACGCTGTGACCAAGATTCAGGTCGGAGCAGGTGGACTCGGCATTCAATACGTACAGTTCGATTATGTCAAGAAAGGACAAACTGAAGAAGCTCCTCTTCGCGGCATCAAAGGCCGTAGTATCGCAGCTGATCCGGTTCCTATACCTTTTCCTTGCCCATTGATCAATATATATATATCAAGTTTGATCTTGATCTTGTTTTTGACATTTTGATCTTGATCTCTATAGTTTGTGATCAACCATCCAGAGGAGCACTTGGTTTATGTAGAAGGTTGGTATAACCCTGAAGGTCTTATTCAAGGGCTTAAGTTCAAATCCAACAAGAAAACTTCTGATGTCATTGGATATGATGATGGTACTCAATTCACTCTCCAAGTTCAAGACAAGAAGATCATTGGCTTTCATGGGTTTGCCGGAGACAATCTTAATTCTCTTGGGGCTTACTTTGCTCCGTTGACTACTTCATCCCCGTTGATCCCTGCCAAGAAGCTTCCAGCACTTGGTAGTGATGAAGGAACTGCATGGGACGATGGTGCTTATAATGGTGTTAAGAAGGTGTATATAGGTCAAGGACTCGATGGTGTGTCAGCGGTTAAGTTTGAGTATGTCAATGGTTCTCAAGTTGTTATTGGAGATGAACGTGGAAAGACTACTCTACTCGGCTTCGAAGAGGTACTTATATATCGCTTTTCTCTATCAAAAATTCATGGACTACTAATCTTATTTACGAGGTCAGCACTTTTTTTAAAAGCGGCAGCCTAAATGAGCCAAACCATTTTGAACCCATTTATTTTATAACTTTGTTGGACGAGACATGGACTATTTTTACATAAGTGGCCCGTTTAATCCCACAAGTTCCCTAGGCACTGTGTTCTTTGTATACTAGATATTTTATCTATCTTCTTAAAGTCATTCAGATCGGTTTCCATCGGCCAATATTAAATTGTTTTGTTTGGATTTCGTTGTAGTTCGACATTGATTATCCAAGTGAATACATCACGGCTGTGGATGGCACCTGCGATAAAATATTTGGAAGTGACTCTGCGGTCATTACCATGCTTAGGTTCAAGACTAATAAGCGAACATCAAATCCCTTTGGTCTTGAAGCTGGCATAGCCTTTGAACTTATAGAGGAAGGCCACAAGATTGTCGGATTCCATGGAAAAGTCAGTGATATTCTTCATCAAATTGGAGTCCATGTCCTCCCCATCACCAACTGATCATGACATCTTTCTCTTTGATTCCATCTAATAAGTTATCAGACCTGTCTTCTAAATTTGTCACCTTGAAGTTTCTTTATGTCTCTAATGATCTTTGAATAAGTTGTTCTACTTATCATGTTTCTATTTCAAACTACTCAAGTTTTTTTTAGCTTTGTCTCTCATGAATGTTGATGTTGTTTTGTCTTAGATGGGTTCGTGATCCACTGATCCAAATTCCTAAAATTGTAAATAGAGTCGGCCCTTAGGCCAAACCAATGAAGCATTTATTTGTGGCCTTTCATATCATAAGTTATTTTCGGCCTTTTTCAAATATTCTAGTGGTCTAGTGGTTTAGGTGATGATGCTCAAGAATCAGTGACTCCGGCCCTTTTTCTTTTTCTTTGGTTGCGACTTTCAAAAATTTAGAACCGGCTCTGATTGTAAACGTAGGTTTGTTCCTAGATATGCTAAGTGGGGCCAAAAGCATGCAAAGTTACAAACTAAGGTATGGTATTTTGTTAAACCAAGGGCTGAAGATAGTTTCGGTTTGATAAGCGAGCTTAGCTTATCAACGGGTTTCCGGATCTCTCCACGATTATTTTTTTATTGTGCTTAAAATGAATATGGGTGAAAAAAAAAAATTTAACCTACAATTAACACGTGAAATGCAAAACTATATTATTTTCGGCTCAATAGAACTTTCGCATATATTTAAATTAGTTATTAGAATTATATCATTATCGGTAACCTTTAAATCACCATGACATATTTACTCTTATAACCTTTCCTTAACAATTTTGTTTCCATATCCTTTTATCACTAACAGTCTAGTCTATTGAGAAGTTATTACAATAGTAGGGTTGAATGATAACATTACTACTTGGGATAGTTGTTTGCGAATTTAGGTTTCGTAAGGAAAATGGTTTTTTATTACCTCTTGGCGATTTTTATGAGAAAACTAAATTTTCGTAATCTAGTTCTTGAATAACACGCGTAGACAACACCACGTCAACGAGTTTAGGGGTCGACGTACACGTCAAATTTAACGTTTCATAGAAGATTTTGAATTAGTATGCATATCCATTTTTTATAACCCCAATCTCAATAAAGACCGCAATTCACGAGTTCGCGAGACAACGAGATAGGCACAAATCTTTCTTTGCCACATTCAGGCACGCAATCGATGTACTATTTCTGTTTTCAACAACTACTGAATTTTTTTTCTTTTATTCACTTAAGAATAATTTGATATTTTAAATTGCGACAACATTAACAATCATCAATTTTTCCTAGAATCTTGAAATGAAATAGTGTAAAAAAAGTTGTATTTTATATAATGGTACAATCCTAAAACAGAATTTGCCCATCTTGAAAAATGAAACTTCATTGGCAAAACAAAGAAAAATAAACCGCATTTTTTCATATAATATCATGTCATTAGAAGTTTTTCATGCTTCAAAATTTAACTCCTATCCGTTTTCTCAATTTTGTTTTCATGTTACGATTCAAACAGAAACAAGCCAAAAATGGGAGTTACTGCATTATGTCCGATAACTAACCGTTATGCTCGTTCAAAGAGAAGGCATATCATTACTTATTAAGAAACGTGTACTAATATCACATCATTAATACGCAAATTCAACTCATTTGCTTCATATTCACAACAATTTAATAATTTAATGTATCGTGGACCACGAGATTATACAATATCTTCTACTCCCTCTGTTCCAAAATATAGAATTTTTGGACTAAAAGCACGCTTATTAAGGAAAATTTTAACACAAAATAACTCATTAATTAAACACATTAAAACAAATTACAAAAAAAAAAATAGAAGGGATAATTAAGAATGTTAAGAGACACATTTTACTCCACTTAAATAGGGATTATTAACAAATTACAAGAAAAAAATTTCAGATGCGAACCATTTTTTTGTAAACACTTTGAAACTGAAAATTCAAACTTTTCACGATGGAGCCATACGAACAAAGAAACTCCGATTGTTTATCTCTATATAATCTCTTTGGTCTAACAATGATTTACCAAATTTTTCATGGATTACAATATTGATTTGAATTTTCCAATCCTAAATCATGAGGCAGAAGTTTTGATTGATTTAAACCAAATTCCAAGCATAGAAGAAGATGATCCTGGTCACGGCGATGAAGTTTTTTTTTGATTTGCTTTCTCTGTTTTCCATTTTTTAGTCTCAGATTTTTTTTTTTTTTAATGAAAATATCAGTTTTAAAACCCATGAGTTTGGAAGACGATAAGTTTTGCAAAAATGGAGTAATTACACAATACAAATAACGATGGAGTAGAATTTAGAATTTTAAAATAGTTTGACCAAAATTGTTTTAATAAATTGAATATTTGCATAGAAATCTGAGAAAATTCTATATTTTGGAACAAAAAAAAAAGGCTAAAAAATTCTATATTTTGGAACAGAGGGAGTATTAATTAATTGCTGGCCTATATTCCAGGAAATCAATAAATACCCATGCAATTCTTCGTAAATGGATCACTCGACTCTCTTCTATATCTATCTCGTATCAGGTCAACTCTTTTTCTCTCTTCTGATAATGTTTTTGTGGAAAATTGGTTATAAACAATTTTGTTCGTAATTACAGGTAATTCGAAAGACTGATTAAAAGCAAGCAAAAGATGGCTCAAAAGGTGGAAGCACAAGGAGGTATGGGAGGAGAGGTATGGGATGACGGTGTTCACGACGATGTTAGAAAGGTGCATGTAGGGCAAGGGCAAGATGGTGTGTCGTTTATCAATGTCGTGTACGAGAATGGTTCACAGGAAGTTGTAGGAGGTGAACATGGAAAGAAGTCACTTATTGGAATTGAAACAGTACGTATAAAAATGTTTTGCTTCGATCCATTCTTGTCTTTAGTTTTCTTAACTTTGCATTGTAGGTTCTTCAAACAATTTAACACTCAATACTATGGATATATGTAACGTTATGACAGGAAAATAGCTCGCCGACCAGTTCTGACGATTAATTAGGGACAGGTCTGGTCAGGTCCGTTTAGGACTAAACTGTTCTCATGCATTCATGCCAGACCAAATCCGTCAAATCTATTAATGTTTTTTTTTTTTTTTTCTATTTGCTAGCTAACCTTAGAATGATCTGGAAATACCACAAAGACCAAGCCAAACCTAAATTTTAAAACGAGAACCGATAAGGACTAGACCAATTCACGCCTTTTACGATTTTTAGGTTGAGTTAAATATTACTCAAGAGAGGTATCTTTCTATTGTTGCAGTTTGAGGTTGATGCAGACGACTACATCGTAGCGGTGCAGGTGACCTACGACAAAATATTTGGCTTTGACTCTGAGGTCATTACATCTATCACCTTCTCTACATTCAAGGGAAAGACCTCGCCACCGTATGGATTAGATACCGAAAATAAGTTTGTACTCAAGGAAAAAAATGGAGGCAAACTTGTTGGATTCCATGGACGCGCTGGCGAAATTCTATACGCTCTTGGAGCATATTTTACTACAACCACAACTCCTTTGAATCCTGCCAAGAAACTACCAGCAGTTGGTGGTGACGAAGGAACTGCGTGGGATGATGGTGCTTACGATGGTGTTAAGAAAGTGTATATAGGGCAAGCCCAAGATGGTATATCAGCCGTAAAGTTTGTGTACGACAAGGGCGCTGCGGATATTGTAGGAGATGAACATGGAAATGATACTCTACTCGGATTTGAAGAGGTATAATACTTGCTTTGCTTTATTGCTCTTTTGGTTGGATGTGAAAATATTTTACAAAAAAGTTTAAATATCTTACACAAAGATATGCTTGGGGTCAAGGAATCCACATTTTCGTGTTACAAATGAAACCAAATTTGTTTCCATCAACTTATATATTCAGTGTTGGAAACTGAGTGAAGATGTTTATGTCCTCTATATATTAGTGTTGAGTTACTTCCCATGTGAATTCTAACACGTTCCCTCGAGATGATGATTCTTATGGCTTTTTCATCTCGGAGAGAATCAGTTATACCTTTAAATTTACAGGTTTCTAATAGCATGTGAAGAAATTGTAGACTTCCAAGTCATAATCAATATGCAATGAGTGGCAAAATTCATATATTTTATATTAGTGTTGAATTATCTCCATTTTCGATATAAAATATTTTAACTAACAATTGTTTTATTTGGTTTCCACTAATTGCAGTTCCAACTTGACTATCCAAGTGAATACATTACAGCAGTTGAAGGCACATATGATAAAATATTTGGTAGTGAGACTGAAGTCATAAATATGCTTAGGTTCAAGACTAATAAGCAAACGTCTCCTCCCTTTGGAATTGAAGCTGGCACAGCCTTCGAACTCAAAGAGGAAGGCTACAAGATCGTCGGGTTCCATGGAAAAGTCAGTTCGCTGCTTCATCAGTTTGGAGTCCATGTCCTTCCAGTCACCAACTGATCATCACATATTTCTCTTCTATTCCACCAAATTTGTTACGTGTGATATCTTCAATAAGTTTTCTAACTTTTCTTGTTTATTTATATATGTTTTAAGTGTCTATGCTCTGTTTTGTGAAGTTGTTATGTCTTTGATGTTATATGTGATTGGCTTTAATAAAGGTGGATGATTATATATATTATGATGGAAACAATCATCTTTAAGACTTTAGCATTATTTAACCATATGAGCAATTGGATAACGGTCTAATGTAACCAGGTTTCATATATTCTTACTATTGTTAATTAAAAAAACATGTATTATGAGAGCAAACAAAACCAAAAAAAAAACCAGGATATCAAAATCATGTTTTCATATGATTTATAACTTGTTTTTCTTTCTTTTCTTAGTCTCAGTTAGCCAGTGTTTACCTGAGGCTAAAAAGAGAGAAAAAAACAACTGAAATTTAAAAACAGAAATTAAATACATAGTTGTTTAAAATAAGTTGTTTAAAAATAAAATACATAAATTAAGATATTTCTCATTTCAAATATAGATAAAATAATGTTAACTATTTTTTATAGAAAAAGTTAAAGCTTAATATAGAAAAGCCAGCGAGTTGCTTCATCAGTTTGGAGTCCATGTCATGCCAATCACCAACTGATCACATTACAGCTTTCTTCTTCGATTCCATCGAATTTGTTAATGTGATCTCTTGAATAAGTTGCTATACCTATAATGGTTATGTTTGTTTATCTTTAAATGTTTTTAAGCGTTCTCTTTTGTGATGTTGGTCTTTATATAATGTTATATGTGATAGATTTGCATAATGGCGGTTGCATCTATATTGAACAACGCTCCATACTATATTATATTAAGCTACTGCAAGTGTGTTTAGCGTATTCAAATTAACATCTTACTAAATTAAATTCTCGTATATCTACGTGCATGATGATAATTGTGGTAATTAAGTTTATTCTTTTTTCAATATATATTTTTAATATGAACCTCAAATTACCAGCTGATTTAAGCTTTCCAACTAAACAAGAGGAAATTTGGTCTACTAGGTTTTTAACTTAGCTCTGCCACCATATTGGAAGGACACTGTTCAAATTATTTACAAAAACACTACGCAAGTTTACGCCATACCTCATGTCCAACTACCCCCTAGACGGCTAGACCACATATGCTCGGACCATTTTATTGGTTTTGTTATGCTTGTTTAGGACTCTATTACTATTTTTCTTGTGAAATAAGTTTTTGGTACTTAACCGTCCTTTACTATGATCACGATTTAAGAATGTTGGAATGTATTAATTTGGCTCGGCTTTGGCAAAATCCAGCGGCCTGGGATTAGATTCCGTCCTAACTTTAATGATTTGGGATTTAGGCCTTACCAATATCAGCCCATGTAATGTTAATCTTGGATATCCCCTTTTGGTAATTGAGTTTGCAATATATTAATCTTGGACTTTTCCACTTTCTAATTGATTTACAATATTTTATCCTGGATTAGCCGCGTAAGAAGATCTGATCCACACACGTCTCACGAGTGTAGTAGGCTCGACGTGCTCAATCTCAAAGTGTGATAACGTATTTTTTAAGTTTTTAAAAAGTCATCATTATTGTTATCTGGCTCAATATAAATAAACGCCACGAGAACCACGAGTCGCATTTCTTTTATTTAAATATAATGCCTTGCCAAAAGTCAAAAATATGTTTCCATAACCGGGAAATTAAGAGGAATTCCCAAATATACTTTTTAATCACTAATTTTTATGAAGTAGCTTCTAAGAATGTTCTATCCAATTAGATGTGTTACTGTAAAGATTGAGATTAGAGAACAAATACATTCGAACACGTGATTTGTTCGTTAATTTCCTTGATTCCAACGTAGCTACTGAATAATTCAAAGTTTCAAACTAGTATATACAGTATATTAATACAATTTTCGATAAGGATCGATCGATACTAATGATACGATAGAAGTATTAAGGAAATAAAATAACAAGATTGTGACAGCAAACTCTATATTGATATTCCTATTTTTAATTAGCCATGCGATGCACGATCAATTTTTTAAAATAAAAAGGAATATGATAGATCAAAGAGCGTTGCAAATTCCATCCTGTAACCACAAAATTCTGGGCCCTATCCTATTTTTTAAAATCGGATACACTCATTAAAATTTGGTTAATCCTATCTAAAAAGTGAAAAGGTAAATAATAATTCGGCCGTGATTTTTATGTGGAATTTCTAATTGTCCCAAAGTTGTGATCATTCTAACAATAGATCGAAGGCAACGATCAAGCCATTTTCAGCCATCTAAGTTACAGTTTTGTTGTCATCAATCAAGATTACTTTGATTAACAAAAAAAAAAAAGATCACTTGCGGTTGTTGACCAAAAAAAAGAAGCAAAAAAGAAATAGATCACTTGCCAAATTAATTTTAGAAAAACGTACCAAAGTGGCAAAAACGTAAATAATAAGGTGTTCAAAATTTGGCGCATTCTGGCGACAAATATCTCTGAGAAAATTTATTTTGAATTTTTACGATATTTGATTTGTTAAAGCAATAAATGGAGTGTCATATAGAATGATAGCGAGACATCATAATACATATACTGTATAACATTTGACAAAATTATTTAAATAATTACGGTAATAATAATATTATGGATGTCCAAATTTAGAATCAACGTCATAGCTTGTTATATGATCACATCTATTAATAGAATTTATATAGTAAATTCTAATTTGTATAGTATAATAAATTCCAATAAGGTGTGATAAAATTTTATATTGAATTCTATTAATATAGCAACTGATTCGACCGGAAAAATAAAAGTTTAAATTATGGACAGAAGATGGTAACAAATTGGTAACATTGATGATTGTTTTAAAATAAGTGTGATATGAAGAAGTTAACATAGAAGCATACACATAAAACATCCAAAAATCGGGTTAAAAGGTACTTTCGTCTATTTCCGCTTTGATATTTTCCTTTCAAAAAGACTAGTATATGGCAAATTGTCTTTCACATAAATGATCTTTGGTTCTATCTATATATTAGTTTTTTTTGTTAAATTAAAATTTCATTTAAAAAAACTTAACAGACGTATTTGCGAATATAAAACTGGTGAAAAATAAAGATATTACCGATTCGCAAAAGTAAATCAAAATACATAAAAAAATCTATATATTTTTGGGTATGAAGGTTGCAAGAAAGCAATTACCGATTTGGTGACGATACAAGCAATTATTACATACTTTTATTTATTTTTTCAACAATTATTACACATACTTGTGGACCAACATGATTTATTTTATATTGCCCATGTGGTGCGTAGTAAATGTTATCATAACTTGAAATTAAATAATAACTAAGCTCGATATATATATACCCCCACTATTAGCCTCTCTTATTCACACCTAATCTTCATCTTCACATTCAGAGTCTCTACAAACAGGTAATCCCTCTCTCTAGCTCTCTGGCTATCTATGTTTACGTGTACCTATCTGCTTTTCCGAAAATGGATCGATCAATTAATTGATCTTTTCCTGTATCTCAATTGTTTTCATAATCAATTTGACTTTTTGATCGTTTTATGCTCGAGAGTGTTATCATTAACTATAGTAAAGATAGTATTGACCTGCTTTCAGCACATGAGTTAGAACTAGAACCGGATTAGTATTAGTTTTATTTTATACCTGTTCATAATTAATTTCGTAGTACTAATCACAAAAATGGTCCAAAAATGAAAATAAAAAATAATAATAAATAACTTTTGGTTAATCACAGATCGATAGAAGAAGTCTAGAACGATGTCTTCTTGGGACGATGGATCACACGCAAAGGTGAAGAAAGTGGAGCTAACGTTCGATGACATCATCTACTCAATCAAGGTCACGTACGACGGAGCCACCGCTCTTCAATCCCAGCTTCGTGGCTCCGTTGGGCCCAAATCTGGCGGGGTTAGTGGAAAACAAACAAACTTATGTTTACAGTTATAATGTTTAGTAATTTTCTGTTAATTGACTTTAATGTCATATACATAATCAGTTCACTTTGGCTCCGGACGAGTACATAACGGCCGTTTCTGCTTACGGCAAATCGTTGGCTACGCAAGAAGTTATTACGGCGTTGACTTTCACAACCAACAAGGGGTCTTATGGACCTTACGGTAACAAATCCGGTTTCCAGATTTCTGCTCCTGAGGCCACCGGTAAACAGATCGCCGGTTTCCTTGGAACCAGCGGCAATGTTCTCAACACCATCGACGTTCACTACGCTCCCATTCCCACCGGAGGAACTGGCACCGGAGGAACTGGTACTGGAGGAACTGGCACCGAAGGAACTGGTACAGGAGGAACAGGCACCGGAGGAACTGGTACCGGAGGAACTGGCACCGGAGGAACTGGCACCGGAGGAACTGGTGGCACCGGAGGAACTGGTGGAACCGGAGGAACAGGCACTGAAGGAACTGGTACAGGAGGAACAGGCACCGGAGGAACTGGTACCGGAGGAACTGGCACCGGAGGAACTGGCACCGGAGGAACTGGTGGCACCGGAGGAACTGGCACCGGAGGAACTGGTGGCACCGGAGGAACTGGCGGCACCGGAGGAACTGGCACCGGTTCAGGTGCCCAGAAATTGGATGCACAAGGCAGCACTGGAGGCACAGCTTGGGACGATGGATCCAATTACGATGGCCTAACAAAAATATACGTAAGATCCGGTGGGGAAGGTATTCAATACGTCAAGTTTGACTATGTGAAAGATGGACAAAAACAAGAAAGTGCCCTACACGGTCAACAAAGCAGAGGTTCAACAACAGAGGTAAGCTAACAACTTTCTTTCAAGGTTTAGAACTATTTATGGAAGACTACTGACATTGTGAAATCCATTTTTTGGGCAGATTTTGATTAACCATCCGGATGAATATCTTGTTTCCGTTGAGGGTTGGTATGATTCCGTCATCCTAGGAATCCAATTCAAAACCAACTTGAAAACTTCTGACTTCATCGGGTATGAATTCGATGGTAGTGGTACTAAATTTACTCTTCAAGTTCAAGACAAGAAGATCAGTGGATTTCACGGTTTCGCCAGCACCCATCTTAATTCCATTGGAGCTTATTTCGTTCCAAAATCTTCCACCACTACTCCTACAGTCCCTGCGAAGAAGCTGACCGCAGAAGGTGGTGAGACTGGAGCTGTATGGGACGATGGTGCTCACGATGATGTTAAAAAAGTTTATGTAGGACAAGGACAAGATGGTGTTGGAGCTGTCAAGTTTGAATACAAGAATGGTTCTCAGGTTGTTTTTGGAGATGAACATGGAAAGAAAACATTGCTAGGATACGAAGAGGTACGCTTAAGACCGAATTTTCATGGGTTTCCCTTTCAACTAGTTTCACTAATCATTATGCATTTCTCTATGTAGTTTGAGCTTGAATCAGATGAATACATAACATCCGTGGAAGGAACCTACGACAAAATCTTCGGGACCGATAGTGCTGTAGTGACGATGCTGATTTTCAAGACTAGCAAGAACAAAACAGCTGGACCGTTTGGGCTTGAAGGTAGCACACGGTTTGTATTCAAGGAGGATGGTTACAAGATCACTGGGTTCCACGGACGAGCTGGTGACTATATTAATGCTATTGGAGCTTATTTAGCTCCATCAGGCACCACCCCTTTGACTCCTGCAACACAAGCCCAAAAGCTAGAAGGAGCTGGTAGTGAGGGAGGAACTTTATGGGATGATGGTGCTTTCGACGGTGTAAGAAAGGTGTCTGTAGGACAAGCCCAAGATGGTATTGGAGCGGTCACGTTTGTGTATGACAAAGCAGCTCAGGTTGTAGTAGGAAACGAACATGGAAAAACCACATTGCTTGGATATGAAGAGGTATACTTAATTAGTTCTTGCTTTCTCATCTGTCTTTTAACCGTATGATTTGTTTTCCTCAACTTTGTTATGTTTTGTGGTCTTTTAATTGTAGTTGGAGCTTGACTATCCAAGTGAATACATTACGGCAGTTGATGGCACCTACGATACAATCTTTGGGAGTGAAAAATCAGTCGTAACTATGCTTAGGTTCACGACTAATAAGCAAAAATCTATGCCTTTTGGATTGGAAGCTGGCACGCCCTTCATATTCCAAAAGGAAGGCCACAAGATCGTTGGCTTCCATGGAAGAGCCGGTGATCTACTTCACAAATTTGGAGTCCATGTCGCACCAATCACCAAGTGATCATGGAGATCTTAAGTATCTTTTGATGATGGTTTACATACTTTGAATAAGCTGATTCTACTTTATTTCTCGCTGTTTGTTTACTGCTTCAGTGTTTTAAATCTTTTCTTTGTCTTGTTGTTGTGTCTTTCATGGGTTTTTGTGATCCAATTTAATAAAAGAAGTTTGTTCAAAGTATTTCCCTACTTTCTTGTATTATATATCTAGCACTTCATTGAAACAAACGGGTTTTAAAATTAAACCTCCTTTATTTAAGTAGAGACGTATACAAATATCTCACAACACAACTCCATAAACTCACTAGATCTTCTTAATTTGAAACTCCGGTAAAATCAAATTAAAGATTTTGATGATGGTCTTCAAATTTTGAAAAAGCTGATTCTAGTGGTCCAAGTCTTTTCTTTGTGTTGTTGTTCTGTTTTTTTTAAGTGATTTGTTATTCATTTTAACAAAGGAAGTTTGTTCAAAGTCACACAATGCATAAACCCTCTTTATTTAGATTTTAGATAAGAAAGTAGCACACAAATACTGAAATACATTACCCTTGAGAAAACCAAATACAACATTAGACCACACAACTCCATAAACTCACAACATAATCTTATTCGAATTCCGGGGATATGAGATTGTTTTCACATCAGTTAGCTATGGGGGCAACAGTGACTCCAAGTTTGTAAAGATAGTCACCAGCTTGTCCATAGAAACCGACGATTTTGTGGTCTTTCTTCTCCAGCAAGAATTCAGTTCCGCCCTCGAGTCCATACGGGATAGATGTTCTCTTGTTTGTCTTGAACTTAAGCGAGACGATTGCCGGGGCATCTACACTAAAAACCTTGTCATAGTAGCCCGACACAGCTGTGATGTACTCATCTGGTCCAAGCACAAACTGCACATTTTCAACCATGTCAACATTCAAGAATTTAGGTTGTATAAATAACTTTAAAGGATTTGACCAAAAAAAAAAAAAACTTTAAAGGAAGACAAGATTTGAAGATGAAATCAAGAAAAAAAAACCTCCTCTGCTCCAAGCAATGACATCTTTCCATGATCACTTCCAAGGACAGGCTTTGATGCCTTTTCATAATCAGCCTTGAAATATGTCACACAAGAGTCACCTTGTCCAACATATATCTTCTTGACACCGTCGTGAACACCATCATCCCAAGCAACTCCACCATCTCCACCTTGTGCTGGAATAGTATTGGAAGAAGGAGTCAATGGTGTGGACGAAGGAACAATATAAGCTCCTAGAGAATGGATCAGATCGCTTGAAGTTCCATGGAATCCAACAATTTTGCCACCTCCTAGCTCAGCTTCTTCTCCAGAGGTCAAACCAAACGGCTGAGAAGTTTTACCCTTGAATGTCTTGAATATAAGAGCTGTGACTATCTCTATCGGTGACCCGAAAAGTTTCTCGTAGTAAACTTTCACATATGTGATGTAGTCTTCAGGATCAATCTCAAACTGCATAAACCCATCAACATTAGGAACACACAAAAAAAAAAAAAAAAAAAAAAAAAACACTTTTGAGAAATTTCAAGAATACAAAGATTTGTGTACCTCCTCTGTTCCAAGTAGTGTCTGCTTCCCATGTTCAAGTGATACAATCTTACCATCTTTCTCGTAATCAAACTTGACATAAACCACACCAGAGTCACCTTGTCCAACATAAACTTTCTTTACATTGTCGTAAGCACCACCATCGTCCCATACATCTCCTCCACGACCACCTTGAGCTTCCAATTTGATCGGACCACCTGATTCCGGCGGAGTCACCGGAGTAGTTGACGGAATTATATAAACTCCTACAGAATGGATCAAATCGCTTGAACTTCCATGAAATCCAACGACCTTGCCACCTCCTAGCTCAGCTTCTTCTCCAGAGGTTAGTCCAAAAGGCTGAGAAGTTTTCCCCTTGAATGTCTTAAAGATTAGAGCCGTGACGATCTCTATCGGTGATCCAAAGAGCTTCTCGTAGTAAACTTTCACTGATGTTATGTAATCTTCTGGATCAAGCACAAACTAGCAAAAAAAAAGACAACCTAAATGATTAGTTAATGACAAGAGAACTCTCTTTGATAACAACAACATCAAAATATTTTTTTTTTTTTTTTTTTTTTTTGAATAACCGCGGGTCTCCCAAAGGCTTCCTAGGCCCAAGGACTAATCCCACGAGGCTGGCAATTCCCCTATGTAAACCTGCCAGTGGCCGTGCCTCGAACCCTGGTGGCGGAAGTCACAGCTGTGACCCCTTTACCACTAGGCCACAAGGCCCGGTTAACATCAAAATATTTACCTCCTCTGTTCCAAGTAGTGTCTGCTTCCCATGTTCACGTGATACGATTTTGCCATCTTTCTCGTAATCAAACTTGACGTAAACAACACCAGAATCACCTTGACCAACATAGACTTTCTTGACGTTTTCGTAAGCACCACCATCGTCCCATACATCTCCTCCACGACCACCTTGCGCTTCCAACTTTTTCGCCATTTTTCCTTCTCTTAACCTAAAGTTTTCGTACCAATTTTAGAAACTGTAAGCTCAGAAGAGCCATGACCAGACACACTACTCAAGCACTTTCATGATGATGAAACTAATCTAATTTGAGGACTATAATACTTCCACTAGAACATTACTTTAAACAATATCATCATATTCTCATAGATTCATTTTCCTATATAGAAATTCACTGATTGAAATAAAAACTAGTAAAAAAAACAATATAAGGATTTTGTGAAGAAAAAAAAGGAGTAAAAGGGAAGAGAGAAATATAACCTTTGAGTGTGAGAAATTGAGATGAAGATTGAAGATGAATGAGTTAATTTTGGGATTTTGTGCATATAGTATATATATATAACACTTTTGAATACGGACATTAATTTCTCTATTCATCTAATGTCAACCACTTCCTTTATCTTTTCTTTTTGAGGGCTTTATTATTATTTAACCAACTCGTGCTTCACGAGGGATGGAAGCTTTGATTAGTTAGGATTTAGGAACTTGTATAATAATCTAAATATCTTTTAAAAATTGTTATTGAATCTAAATAAAATTTGTAAAGAGAAACCTAATTTTCCAAAAAAAGGGCTCCTAAATTTTTTAACATAATCGTGAAAGCAGCATCAACCAAGAGATTAACATCTTTTGAATATTTGGATTAGAGATTTTCATAGGACATAATAGATTCGTAGACTAGTTTGTTCGTGTAATTCATACTGGACTTGTTTTATTATATGAGATGGTTAAATGATGAATTGACATTTATAATTTCTCAAAATGTAGGCTATGAAAAAAAAACGAAACTTCACGTCGAAAAAATCAAAATTAAGAAAGAAATACTCAAATAAGTTCGTGGCATTTGAGTTATAAGAGCTCTGAAGACAATGGCCCATGAAGATGATGGTGGCTCCGTTAATCACGTTGTATTAAAACTCACACGACCATCGCTCATCTGCCTCCAATTATAGCGAAACCGTTACAACTCGTTGTTCACGTGAGTCTATACATATCAAAATATGCACTACTCTTTTCAAGTTCGGTACTCCTAATAATCCATTTTAATCAGGGATGTCAAGTGGGCTTCGTGACCATGGACAAGACCAGTCCAAATTATAATGGTCCGGATTTGGTTACGCCCAAATTCGCCCAAATTCGAAGCGGTCCATATGGGCTAGAAGCCCATTTAGTCCACAAACAAATGGGCCGAACCCATCTGGACATGGGCCGTCCAATAAGCCTTAAAAATTAGGGTTACTAATTTGGAGAAATTTTTTTTTCTTTATTTCTTTAAAAATTAGGATTTACATTGACATTTTCACTCCAAAAAATATTTTACAGTTTTGGCGGAAAAATGTGATTTTACGATTTGGCGGAAAAATGCAATTCTTCGATTTTGAGAGAAAATATGTTTTTCCGGTTTTGGCGGGAAATCGAAAATTAAATTATTTGGACCCCATGGGCTGTCCAGTTGGTCATGGTTTTATTTGGGCTTGGTCTTAATCGGATACGGTCCTATTTGGGTTTAATTATACTATCATGGTCCTATTTAGTCTTGGTCCCATTTGGACCTGGACAGCCCAATTGACATCCCTAATTTTAATGGGACGGAGACTTTAACTAGAGGTATACAACATTTTGGTTTTAATCTTAAAAAATAAATTTAGTTAACTAATCTCAATTGATTTTTTTTTTTTATTTTGGCATAACTTTCATTGCTTGAGTTATAATATTGTTGAATGCAACGATAATTTAGACATATGATGACATGAAAACAAGTAAAGAAGAAAAAGTGTATCGTATGCCCCACTCGGTGATAATGATTAATGAGACTATGATTTTTTCCACACATTAATTGTATTTCTGCATTATTTAGATGGACCCTCACCACCTGTTATAGTTTTTAACTTTTTAGTATCTTACACATTACACTAAACGACACTTCGAAAATCACATTAAGCTCCCCCTCCTTTAAACTTTTTTTTTGTTAACTCGGGTCCATTGCTTTTTAGCATTCGGCTCTCAATCTTATCTTCCCATGGATGGTCATATAATCCAATTCAATTGATATTATGCAATATATGCACCACAGACAAGTCTTCTATGTGCATACGTTTCAAAAAAAAATTCTATAAAGTTAGAGAGGTTAACATTTCTTAATACTTTTTCCGTTTCACTTTAAACACACTTCAGAAAAATTGCTAGTTTCATTCATCACTGCAAGTATATGTTACCATTCTTAAATTCTTACACCATTGCTACGTGAAAACAAAAAAAATCTAATTGAGAGAAAATATAATATGATCACACCATTACATTACATGGGCTTTAAAATTCATTGGGCCATCGACCCAATAACCTTAGCAAAAAAAAACTTTTATCGTTCGCTTCTCTTCCTCCTCTCTATTCAGCTCTGACTCGGCCTCTGTCTCTCTCCCGTCGTCAGCCACATTCACCGGTACTCATCTGACCGATCTAGGGTTTCGCAGTCGTCATGTACCGCACGGCAGCTTCACGAGCTAAGGCTCTTAAGGTCAATGTCCTATTCCACTTTTTTCCATTAAATTTTGGGTTTTTAAGAGAATGCTTGAGTAAGTGAACAATTTGTATGATTCAGTATTTTTGGATTTGGATTAAAGGGTTTCTTAGATTCTCATAGATCTTGATTCAATTTTGTCTCTTTATACCAGTTGGTTACACGATTCATGCTTTTTTTTAGGTTTATGAAATGTCTCTGTTTCGAAAGTTCTTATCTTTACATTGTTAATTGCCAATCTCTGGTTTTAGATTTTCCCACATTTTGATGAAAGTAGCTCAATTAGCACTTTTTTGGTCCCAATTGAGATATAAGCTTAATGATGCATAGTGTTTGTGTGTGTTTTATAGGGAATTCTTAACCGCAATTTGTGTGCTTCTCGCTATGCAAGCTCTAGTGCTGTTGCAACGAGTTCTTCTTCGGCATCCGGTTCCTCAAGCTGGCTAAGTGGAGGCTACTCTAGGGCACTTCCTTCTATGGACATTCCCTTGACTGGTGTCTCTCTTCCACCATCACTAGCTGACCATGTTGAGCCTAGCAAACTTAAAATTACTACTCTTCCAAATGGACTGAAAATAGCGACTGAGATGTCTCCGGTGAGTGCTTCTTTTAGTAATCCCAACATCAGCTTCCTGTTAAAACTATCGGAATTGCAAAGTGATTTTGAGTGACAATTATGTTTTGTGAATTTTGATCAGAATCCAGCAGCCTCCATTGGTTTATACGTTGACTGTGGTTCTATTTATGAGACTCCTCAATTCCGTGGAGCGACGCACTTGCTTGAAAGGATGGCATTCAAGAGTACATTGAACAGAAGCCATTTTCGACTTGTAAGGGAAATAGAGGCTATGGGAGGTAATACTTCAGCTTCTGCATCTCGAGAGCAGATGGGTTACACAATCGATGCTCTCAAAACCTATGTTCCCGAAATGGTTGAAGTGCTTATTGATAGTGTGAGGAACCCTGCATTTTTGGATTGGGAAGTGAATGAAGAGGTACCTCATGTCATGATGCATTTATCTCACAAAAATCAATGCAAATCAATTTCTTTACACTCTGTTTTCATCATTCTCCCAGCTCCGAAAGGTGAAAGTGGAGATAGGAGAATTCGCAACGAATCCAATGGGTTTTCTCTTGGAGGCAGTTCATTCTGCTGGTTACTCTGGCGCATTGGCAAATCCATTGTATGCACCTGAATCTGCAATTACTGGATTGACTGGGGACGTCTTGGAGGAGTTTGTTTCTGTAAGACCGCTAACACAAGAGATTATTGCATTCTCTGGAATTAGGATCATTGGCTTTCGGTTAGTTATTTCGTGTATGTGTCTTTTTTCTCATCTAGTGCTGAAATTTCAGGAGAATTACACTGCTGCACGAATGGTCCTAGCAGCTAGTGGAGTTGATCATGAAGAACTTCTAAAAGTGGCTGAGCCATTACTTTCTGACCTTCCTAATGTAAGCCGACCAGCGGAGCCAAAATCTCAATATGTCGGTGGAGATTTCCGTCAACATACGGGTGGAGAGGTACAAATATGACGTTTCAGTGGGCTTCTTTGAGTTAAAAATAGGTTCATTATTCCTAATATCTTCCGATTTTATTTTTTCACCATTCTCAGGCTACACATTTTGCGCTTGCTTTTGAAGTGCCAGGATGGAATAACGAGAAGGAAGCTATTATTGCAACTGTTCTTCAGGTGCCTAACTCAAATACATTACTTGATCTTTCAAATGCAAAGATGTAATAGTGTAAAATCTAATTCTTATTAGATGCTTATGGGAGGAGGTGGCTCATTCTCTGCGGGAGGTCCTGGAAAAGGAATGCACTCTCGGCTCTGTAAGTCTCTGAATGTGTTCTCTTTCTACTTGCGTTTTCTTCAAATTTTAACGCTCATGTTTTGATGTAAGTTCATTATTTAGTTGGTTATGATGATGATGAGAATGGTTTCCTTATTGTCTGGATGCAGATCTTAACATTTTGAACCAACATCAGCAGTTTCAGTCATGCACTGCATTCACTAGCGTCTTTAACAATACCGGATTGTTTGGAATCTATGGTTGCACGGTGAGTTTGCGCCGATTTCTTGTTGTTGCTTGCTTATTAACGGTTTTACTTTTATGCACGGTATCTACAATGTGGGTTTGCTTACATTTTTTTGGTGTTGCAGAGTCCTGACTTTGCTTCACAGGGAATTGAATTAGTAGCTACTGAAATGTACGGTGTTGCTGGAGGAGCAGGTTTTTATATATTTCCTCCGTTCTTTTTTGAAACCTTTTATTAACTTATACAAACATATTATTTACTTTGGTTTATATGTTTTGGCAGTTAATCAGAAACATCTTGATCGCGCCAAAGCAGCAACGAAATCTGCAATTCTGATGAATCTGGAATCTCGGGTAGGTCACTTATAAGTTCCACCTCTTTTTTTTAAGCCATGAGTGTGATTTTATAATGAAATTTAACTGTTAATGTGATATGCAGATGATTGCAGCAGAAGACATAGGTAGACAGATACTTACATACGGAGAGAGGTACATACACATTGTCACACTCCACCTCTAAACCGATTATAACCGGACTTTCTCTTACTGTTCTTTTTATGTTTTCCCAACATATCTGCAGGAAACCAGTAGACCACTTCTTGAAGACAGTAGACCAACTTACCTTAAAGGACATTGCAGATTTCACCAGCAAGGTTATCGCAAAGCCTTTGACAATGGCATCGTTCGGAGACGGTAATGACAAAACAATCATCACAGTTTTTCATCCTTTATAAAACGACATTGCAAACTTAAAATCCAATTCACTTATTATATAATCTTGTGTTGATTTTGGGACAGTGTTGAATGTTCCAAGCTATGACTCCGTAAGCAAAAGATTTCGTTGAAGCTGAAGAAGAAGTAAAAAGATCTTTTTGCATCAGAAGATAGAGTTGGGACCTGTATAATAAAGATAGCCTTTTTTTGAGAGAGCCAACCAAATTCTTTATTTCATCATCTCACAAGTTTCTGATCGAAGATAAGCTCATAACAATGGTGACAAAATTACGCCCATGTCTCCAATTTTTTTTTTCTCTTCGGTTAGTGAATAATGATTGATACGTTTACCAACTATTTTCAGCTTCAATTTCTATTTTCTTTCTTGTTAAAGAATGTTGGCAAACATAGGCATTAAAGACTGAAAGACATAGAGTCTAATAACTACATAAATATTTTCCTAAATTTTATGAATTTACTTTTTTTACAACTAATATTTTGACTAAATAGATCCAAAATAATGGAAATGTCCATCACCATCAAACAAATAAATGCCTTAATAAAATAAATTCTTAACTAGTTAGATTATCCATAATAAGAAATAGTATTAGACAAATAGTTGAGTCTTTCTTTTTTTTGGCTCCTGTCTAAAGTCTAAACTATGATTAAGGGATTAAATTACAGAAAACCTTAATTCAAAAGGCTATTAGGGAATCTTTTTGGCAGATTACGAGGTAAATTAGAGCTTATCAAAAGGCGTTGATATTTATTTTAATATATTTCTATTTTCAGAAGAACGAATATGATGACGTAAACACGTATCGGCATCAACCAATCATATTCCCTGGTGGTTTTAAAAAATGATTAGATATAGAAACATTACAAAAATATTTTGAAAAATCACGATAATGATAACGTCATGTCGTACTTGTCTGACGCTACATGGATTCCAAATTTATTGCAAATTTCAACCTCATTTCGTCATCATAGTTACTTAATAATCATATCTTCTTCTCTCGATTACTCACATCTTTGAATTTCAAATTCTACACAACCAATAATCTAAATTCAAAATCTCTACTGTTGAAGAATATGATAATTTTGAAATATATATAAGTTTCTTACTTCTCTTAGACCATCTCCAATGTATTTTCCTATTTTTAGCTCTATCTCTATAATAGAGGTAAGTTTTATCTATTTTTACTCCAATGTGTTCCTCTATTTTTTTCTCTAAAAAGTTTAACTCTATTTATAGAGGAAAAAATAGAGATTCTCTATTCTCACCTCTATATATAGAGAAAAAAATAGAGATCTCTATTTTAGAGGTGAGAATAGAGGTGGGTTGGAGCAAATTTGCCTCTAAAATAGAGTTTAGAGGCAAATATAGAGGTGGGTTGGAGATGCTCTTATGCCTAATAAACAAAAAGCATTCCACATGAAGAGGTAAATAAACAAAATTTAACATTTTTTCCAAAAGCAAGCAATAATTTACAAAAATAATAACCCAAAAAAAAGAAAAGGAAAGTCATCAATGAAAAGTCAAAGGCTATGACGATATTTCCTTTAAGGACGAAAATAACGTTTCTTACTAATTATAGAATCTAAAATCAGTCTCGTTCTGACGAAACAGATGATCATACGAACAAGGAGAGCGTTTCTGTTGCAGCGATTGCGGTTGGGGTTGCGTTTGCGTTTGCGTTTGCACCATCCTAACACCGCTAACGCTACTTCTAGCGGCCATAATCTCATCAAGTGACAATCTTTTTCTATCAGGACGTTGTCTTGGTGCACTATGCGAACGTACCTTAGCTTTAAACGACTGCGTATTAGCCATATAGCTTGGTGTCATCAAACCAGGATAACTTGGCCTAAAACAAGCGTCTCTGTAAACGCTTTTCGCCGGCGAAGGCGGTGTGTAGTAATAGTGATTATTAGCCGCCGATGAAGAGAATCTCGGCGTGTTTTGAGCCGTAGGAAACTTGCATTTATCTCCCGGAAAACTCCATTCGAAATCTTTGGCTTGATAGATGAAATCATCTCCACATTCGGATACAGCAACATTCATTCTCTTTGATCTTGATTTCGTCTTGTATGTGTCAATCTCCACAATCTTGGGACTGGTCTCATCGTACGCATTGTTGTTGTGATTGTTGTTACTCTGTTTCTCAACAGAGATTGATATTCTCTTGCTATGGATTTCACTTCTCGAATCATCCAACCTCTCCTATAATCATCAAATAAATCCACCAAAACATAAGTTTTGACTGTAGAGACTATAATAGAAATTAAAACAATATAAAAAGAATGGTTATTACAAGTGAGTGTCGAGGATTAAACATGTTATTGCGGTTGATGCGTTGCGATCGGACGCTAGTTTGGGCTCTAATAAGAGCTTGCATGCTATGAAGTGTTTCGGCGGCGCGTTTGCGGACTAAGTAACCTCTAACCAAAGCTTGTAGCTTCACTAAACCTTTCAAAGCTCTTAACGCTTTTCTTGCCTATAACAAAAAAAATAAATAATTCGACCAAATAATTAATCACATTTTAGTGTTTAATCAGAAAAGAATCCAACTTTCTTGAATTTAGCAAAGATGTGTTGTACTGTTTCATTAACGAAGATGTGTAAGGAGCAAGTAAAGTACAGACATACTTTCTTTAGTTTTGTCGAATCTAAACGATACCCACATGGCAAAATTCAATCTTTTTGCGTCCAAATCGATTACACCAACAAAAAAATTTAAGAAATTTACCAAATAGCCCTTGAAGACTGATTGAATTTTCATGGCGGCCCACCGCTCCATTGTGTTCTCGGAATATCCTCCGGTTCTTCCGTTACTTGTTAACCTGACCACAGCAACAGCAGCCTGAGCCGCTGCAACCGCTGCGTCTGCGGCCGCGGCTGTAGCTGCAGCAACCGCAATCGCGTGTTTGTTCTGTTCTTTGTCTGTTTCCGCAAGGTAACTTCTGAGCCAGACGGAGTCAGCTTGAAGAACTTTCCGGTGAATGTTAGACCCACCGGCTTCTCCTCCACCGTCGCCGGAGACACGGTTCTCTTTCTCTTTGCTCTTCTTCATACCGAAAATACCCTTGAACCATCTCGCAGCTCTTCCCATCTTTTCTTTCAATTTGAAGAACGGTCAAAGATGTTTAAAGATTCAGAGATGACAAATCACAAATACCCAAAAGAACTTTTGGTATGCAAAAAATGAAGAGGAATACAAATTTACGGCACTGAAACTGAAGACACAATGTGATGTTTTGAGAAAGGAGAACTGTTAAAAAAAAAAAAGATAAGAACTTCAAGAAAGAGAGAGAGTGATGGATAGGTTCTTGAAAAATAAATATAAGTATCATCACCATTTATATATAAAGTATTATTTGAATTTAAACTTGAGCAAAGGACAAATAGGTTCATTATAAAAACTAGTTCTGTACATTTGTTATGGAGAATTTTTGTTTTAAATGCACCGTTTTGTAAAGAGGGGCTAAAAACTTTTGATTATACGATATAGCTTCAAGTATAAGGTAACGTATTTTATAATTCAAAAACTAATTAACAATATTAAAAACTTAAGCGTCAGATTTAAGATAACTTGCTTTTTTCAGCAAATAAAACTTTATTTGTTGCTCAAGAAGAATAGTTTATATTTCTAGTTTTGTTATTGTAAGACAAACAGTTACTTCATTTGAAAATGCCTTGAATTCAATTTCAATGAACTGACAACAGTTGTAATCATACTTTTTGAAACACGAAAAGTAGGAATCATTACTTAGAAATTTTGAAAACAAATTATTAAGCGAAAATGATACGGATTTACAGAATATTTTTTACACAGAGTCTAGATTTTAGGGCTGTGAATAATTATTGTTTTGAAAAGGATAGGAAGAAAGAAATAAGATAAATATTAAAGAAAAAAAAGATCTGACACAACCTCGTGAAGAACTGAATTACAAGACAAAATGATGTCATGGAGAGACAAAAGATGGAGCGCTCTAATTTTTCTATTAATCGAATTTGTTTTTCAAATTATTTCTTTCGATAACATAATTATAAAATATGCCAAAAGAGAAAGAAAAATAGAAAATCAAGCACAAACGAACACGGATCTGCAGACAAACAATGAAGACGAACAGAGTAAATTATATCTTAACTATTATTCTACAAATTATAACTATATTTAAACGCACCTTCAAAGATTCAAAAGTGGTGTGTCCTCTGCCTTTAGCAATTTGTTATTGAGTAATTAAAAAAATGTCTTTATGGAGCATTGTGTTCTTACTCGGTTTTAGAGATACCCTTCTCGTAATTCCCGTTATTAGTAAATTTAATTATCCCATTTTCCTTCCTCAACCCATAATCCCATTTATTTTAAAATATATAATTTTAAATGCTAACTAAAATAGAAACTTTTTCTTAAGGTAAGAAGTTCTAATGAATTTTGAAACATAATCACTAATTAATCCGTTTTGATTCGGTATGAAGCGTACATTACGCTAATGACATTGATTATCTTGACTTGTTAGTTGTTTCTAAAATAAAGTCTGGTTTACAAATGGAATGGTATATCATTCATATAAATGCAAAACCAAACTATATGTCTATATCTATATGGTCGTGGTTGACGAACGTTGACTAAGTTATTTCCATCATTATAGCTAACGTTTATGCTCATGTCGAAGTGTGGCTTCGTGAGGAACAAATGTGAATCTGGAAACTATAATAAAAAGTTGAAACTTTATGTCTTAATGATGAGTTTCTATTACCAATCAAAGAAGGTAGTAGTATTGGGGTTTGTCTATACCTCGAGAAATGAAAATAACTTTGTGAAACAATGTACCTTTTAACGTTTTTCTTTGTACTTTTTTGGGTGACATTCATTTGGTTTTGGGAAGTCTTACTAATTTTAGATTTAAGAGTCCTTATGGAAATTTCACGATTGCAAAATATATACATCCAGTAAAAATTGACCAATAACTTCGATCACCGTGACAAACAACCCTTTTTATTTATCAGAAAAATTCTAAGGAATAGCTAGAACTTTTTGTTAACTGAATACCTAAATTTGTGACAAGACTATTTTTTTTGGTTCGAACTGAGTAAGAGATACAAACGATGAGACGTCAATTAGTGATGATAATCCTTTTTTGGGTTAGCAATAGTTTTTTGATAATAAATCACTAAACTGAAATTGATTATAATTATTAAAATGGTTTTGGCATGCGAACAAAAAGCTTTCCGGATTTTAGTTTGTGGACAATGAGTTGTTCTCCCACGATCTACTGAATATAAAAAAATAGGAGGTAGACATTTTGGTTTTTGTTTGTTTGTTTGGGTTTGGTTGATTTGATTTTAATAAAAATTTAGTTGAAATCTAACCGAGGTTAGTTCGCTTCAGTTTGATTTCATTTTGGTTTGTTTCAATTTGGTCTGCGTTGGAGTTACTTCCCAAAGATATAAACATGCAAATGTATGTTTTTGTGTCCGTTCTCAAACTATTGTCTAAATGATCTTTAAGTCACATAAATAAAAACGTCTACAAAACTACAACATGTTTCAACTCACTTTGAAAGATACAAAAAAAAAAATCGTCATTAGTCATTTTCAAAAACGTGGCATTGGTCTTATTGCCATCTAATGCAATGAAAATTCTGAAACCATTCTTTTAAGTGCGGACTAAACCTCCACATTTGAGCCAATATTGGATTGTCTCGTCACAGCCCAACAAATATAGCGAGATGAGTTCGTTCAATGGGAGGCTTTACATTACAAAGACTTTAAAATTTGATTACATTCTTTATAAGAAAAAAATTGTATACATTCGGCAAATTATTTAACTGCGTTTACCATTAGTAATTTATACGTGAAAATTCTTGATTTCCAACTACTGTTTATATTTTTGCATGGAGTATGGTCACGCTTCTTTTAAATGTTTTCAACTTTTCATCACTGTAAATAAGTTTTTTTTTAAGCAAGTTTCTGACTGGTTCATACCAAACTCAATTCATTTGATCATGACTCTCACACTTTGTTTTTTTTGCAAACCGATTTGAAAAGAATGCTTCAGATTTGGCTATACTATAAGAGGTTTAATTATGAGGTCTGTTTCAGAGGTTTAAACAAGAAACATAATCGCCGCAAGACATAAGCGCAAACGATTTCGCAACTTGATGCAACTTTGGATACTATGAAACTCTTTCATCTAGTTTCCTAATTGTTTTGTCTCCTTGTTTTATTTTTTTGCCAAGGATTCAAATCCAAAGGCTCCTACTTTGTAAAGCCAAACCTTTTCATTTTCAATGATATTAACATTCATAGCAAACAAATTATGAGGTCTGTTTTGTTTCGATGGCTTCAATGACAACACACATTCCGGACATGATCATGAATATGATAGCTCGATTCATCAACAGACGTAATAATAAACAACTAAACTGCATAACAATATGGGTTGGATTGAATTATCATGAAGAATATTACAATTTCATATATATCTATAGAAAGAATGTAAACATTTAAGAACATAACCGAACTGAGCTTCAAGCTCTCCATATATATAGTTATTACATAGATTGCAAGAACCTATCCAAATCATAATCCTAATCAAAGGTTAAATTAACTGAAAATTTAATTGACCACATATATATATTTACCTTTTCTTTTAATTTCTTTTTTTGCCTGACTTCACCCTGTGTGCCATAAGACCCCTTTTATGACATTGGCACTCTTTAAAGTTTTCTTCGTCAGGCCATCTCTCAAGAACCTCTGCTTCTTCTGGCTTTTCCTCTTCCTTACCAAAACTATTAGACTCACTTTGTCTCTTGCTTCGTTCTCAAGAAGTAGATACACCAATAAGAAGACATAAGTTTTGTCTCTTTTTCAAAGATTTCCTTGTTTCTCGCTTAAATTTACGATACAACCCTTCTCAAACCATACTACTTAAAATAAAAGGAGCATATAGAAACTTATGAAAAAAACTTTAACCTACTATGAAACGAACAAGTCATTAAGCGTTTATATGTCAAAATGATGTTTCTAGAAGCACTCGATTGCTTAGGGACACTTTACTCATAGAAACATTTATTCATATAACCCAATGATTATACATTTACAATATGAGCACACAAGTAACCCGATAGGCCCATCACAACTTGATAATACTTTATTCTTTCTTTCGTTCTTTCTTCTCCTTATGATATATTCAGTTGATTCAAATGTTTTATACGTACCTACACATTATGCTAATTAGGGCAGTATTGATTTTGTATATTTTCGAAAAAAAATTATACTACTACTAAGATCAAAGAGAAAAATGTATTGATCTGATTTGTTCCCTTTGGCTCGTGAGTGTCGAGAAGAACACTCATTATTGTCTTATTGCTGGTACGTTTCACACATTTTAATAAAAGATCTTTCAAATAGTTAAATCGTGACCTACTGTATAAACTTACTTTGTTGAAAGACTGATCTCCGTATCTGTGTTCTTTTGTTTTGGATTTTTGCTGTTGTATTATCTATTTATTTTCCTTAGATATAACAAAAAATATATCACTCTTTTCATACACTACATATATAACATTTGATTTATCCATTTTTTAAATAAAATTCTAAGTTTTTAAATTTTGATTGTTTATCATTCAAAGAAATCGGCGGTTTCTGTCGAGTTTTTATCTACAAACTTGCATTATTTTGGAGCGTGAATTTTTTGACACACGTTTTTTAAAAATCTTTCGAATGGTCATCATGTGGGCGAGCTAAGTGGGATATAGACATTGGAGAAGGATTCAACCCTCAAATTCATTATTCTTTAGAAACAAAAATATATACATATTCATCAGTTATGGGCGCCTCCACTTGATGAATTCTTTATATTGGAGAATCTTGTCTCTAGTCAAAACCCATAATCATCTATTTCATTTTATATAAACTAGTACATATATAAATTTTAGTTGAGAAAGATTTCAAAACACGCATGGAAACGATTCTATATGTGCAAGGATCACCGACGGAATTTATATACCAATCCACCTTGCTCGACTGTCCACAACAAAAATTGTACCATTTACCATAAAACTCCACTACAATAACCAATTTCTCTATCACTATATATATCCAAAGTTGTACATAAGGTAGACATGACTCTAGTGTAAGAGATGAATTATATTGAAGAAAACCTTTTACTGTTTTTCTTCATGTGGGCCAAATATTCCTACTGTTTTATAAGATAAAGTCGTTAGTGTTCTCTACGTTTAAAGAGTATGTCGGAGAAATATTTTCCTTTGTATACAGCGTTTTTAGGTGTTACCAATAGGAGATGCATTAGTATGTAGGGTTATATATATTGAAATAATATTATTTTAAGGTGGTACCAAATTATCTAGTGGTTCAAGTCTTACCTTATAGCATTTAAATTTTGACTAAAATAATTATTGACAAGTACTGTTCGTTGCATTATAGGTTCAATTCATTTAAAATCAAAATTTTCAAAGATTTGGTTAAATATGTGTGTGACTGTTTGGAGAGTGTGTCGACCGACCCAGCATGGACCCAAATTCTTGATGTAAGGCCCATTTAAGAGTAAAATGGCACACAGTGCGAACAAAGATTCCCGAAACGTTACGCAGTGTATTCGCCGATATTTCAGCTTCGCCACACAATGGACAATTAAAAAGTGATGAAACTAAACTGGTACGTTTACGTCGACATATACACAAATGGGTTTAATATTTATCAGCCGAAAATAGGTGTTCAAAGTTCAATTTCTTTGTTGCAGTGGTGGAGATAACCATCACAATCATGTACATATATTAAATGACGGGTTCCTTTATTTAAAGAACGAGTGAAAAGTCTCACATTTGCTATGAGTTAGGCATGTCTCAACGAAAATGACTATTCTGAACAAAATTCAATGTTTCTATCGTATTAATTTTTCATGTCGCATTCAGTATTTTCCCCTAGACCCCCAACCACAAATTCTAACCCATGCACTCATTACTGCTTTATTAGAAGACACCACAAATTGCGAATTGATCATGTTGTTGCTCTATAGTTGCTCTACATGAAGACACCACATATTGTCAAGACTTATTTATACCTTTATATAGCTACTAGAAATATCTTAAAAGTTATTCAACTATTTGGCTGCATCAATGGTTATATTGTTTAACCGCAACACTCATATGTAATCACTAAAAGCCGGAGAAGGACAACTTTGAATAAAAATTGGAGATGAATATAAGTTGGCCAGTTATTCTTGTGGTATGAATGTATTTATCACGAAAACAATGTGCTAAACTAAACATTTTTCTTAGTGATGTTTTAGTCGGTCCACCGAGACACGGTCCAATAAGTTGCAATGTGTATGTATGATTTAAAAGTGAGGATAAAAAGCTGCTAAATTCTGCACAAGAAGAACAAAAGAGATAGTAGCCACCAAAATAATCAGATATGGACTGATCATTCTGAAAAGTCTTTTTTTTTTTTTTGAGTTTTCAACTTCCAATCTTATCTTCTTATATACATACTCAGGTTAAATAGTAAAAACAAGAAAAAAATGGCAAAAACAAAAACAACAATAGTGGCCTTTCATTCTCAGCTTTTTACATGATTAAAGGTATAGCCAAAGTTGGAAGGAACAAAAGTTAAAAAGAGCTTTTACAGAGAATAAAAATTTCATCTTCTTTTTCAAAAAGAGTTTTGCAGACATGCATGAGATAATTATTACAGTATGTTCTAATTATCTCCTTAATTAATTAAAATGCTTTTAAACACATATCGCTTCTGTAATCTCATCGTCCAGTGTCTTTAAGACATGGGAATATATCAGATCAGATCAGATCGAATGTCTCTCTAAACAAAAAACAAATGATTATCTCTTATATATAACAAAAACCAGATGTACATATATTTATAAGCTTTGAGACTCTCTGTCTGAAATAGAAATTCCTAAAAAGACTCTTCAATGCTTCATCTTCTCTTGCTTACTCCATCCAACTGCAAATATACAGATGAATCATTTTAGTCATATAGCTCTAATAAATCATCTAAACATAAAACAACTTAAACAAATAAGAACTTAAGCTTACATGTCAAGGCAGATGAAATCTCAGAGCTTTTAATCACACGCAATCTCTTCACAGATGAAACGAACATTCTGTGTTTAGAACAAAGATTAAAGATTAGTAAGTATGCAAATAAAGGAACAAACAAAGCTCCAAGCAAAATTCTGTTCTCTATGTAAAGAATAATCAATTTGAATACTACTACTAATAAAAAGCTAAGAAGTTTTGTTGTTATATGATTTTAAGAATCTAATTCTGCAAACACTGAATCAGATTCAGAGAACAAAAGTGGAAAAGATTCTTACTGCCATGGAACATCCCCAACAAGCATCTTGTCCCCTTCATTGTCTTCATAGGTTAAAGTAAATTCTCCTTTCCCATCTAACAATCCAATTATAGGTTTTTCTTCTCCTTCACCACCAGAGGTATCTCTTTGAGCTGTAATCAACAAATCATAATCCGTAAACACAAGTAACCCTCTTAAAGAACTAAAAAGCAGATTTTAGATTAAGATTTAACCTGCGAGTAGACCTCTGAAGAGTTTGTCTACGGCAAAAGAGAGCTGTTCGTAGCTATTGTAAGCATTGAGATCAACTTTACGACCAATAGGAACACCATCCATATTGATCTTGACAAACATTCCTTCTTTCTTAGGTTCGACTTGCTTTTCACCATCATCACTCTTATTGATTTGACCTTCATGTGAGGAGGATTCGTTACCTAGCTTTGAAGAGCTTGTGCTCGCTAGATTCTTTCTGAACGAACGAACCGGAGGCCAACCCACCACTGGACCAGGAGCAGTTCTTTGAACCATTCATCAAAAGAAACAAAAGACATATGTCAATACCAAACGACAAAAACAGAGCAAAACAGAGTAAAAGTTGATGAAACTTTTTACATGTGAGGGTAAAAAAACAAAGATTGCAGAAGATGGGTCCCTAATGTTCAAAGAGAATAATATCCTCTGTCAAAAGCAGTAAGTAAAAATAACAGTGAGGAAAAAAGAAGATTATACCTTTTATGTGAGATGTGAGGAACATAAGTGGTTTTGTTGGAAGAAGAGAAGTGATTGCCATTGAAACAGTGGAAAGATTTGTCTTCTGATTCCTTCTTGATGTTTCTTGTCTCTGTGTTCTTCTTCTTGATCGGTGAATGATCTTCTTCATCACCACCTGGTGGTCCAAGCCTTAGCTCAAGTTTCTTCTCCTGATCTGTGTTGTTCTTGTCTTCTTGGTACCATTTTCGTCCTTGGGGAATCAAATCAAGAAGTTTTGGACCCGTTTCTCTGTTACCCTCCATTGATCAACACAAGATTTCTTCGCTCCGTTAACTATGTATGAAATTGAAATCTATAGCTTCACCAAACCCTTTTAAGACAAAAGTCCTGAGAAAACCCTAAAAAAGAAACAATCCCACAAAACTGAGAGCGAGAGAGATAGAAAGAGAGATGTGTAATGAAGGTATGGTAGGAGAGAAGTGATGGGATTTTATACAAATCAAAGTTTTTTTTTCTCTCTCTCGTGCACGCTTTGGTGGGTTCTCTCTCACACAGCCTTACCCTTTTTTTTTTTTTTTTCTCAATATGTTGTTCTCTCTCTCTAAAGATTCTGAAAGGGACGAGAAGAGAAAAATTAGGAATACATAGAAAGAAATTTGGATTTGTATGAAGGAAAAAGAAAAACTCAGAAAAAGGTAAAGCAGAGTAGAGTGACTCCACTTTTACTCCTAATTCCTAAACCCCAAAAGTTGAAATGAAAAACCACAATAAATTTAGGGTCTTATAAATTTACAGCTTGCATACCAAGAAAAACAGTAATTGTTCTTGACATCAAAAAAAAAGAAAACAGTAAAAAAAATAAAAATAGAAAAGTGGGTTTTTACTTTTTAGGCTTAGGATTTTTTTTTTTTTGAGTAAAACACACGCAACCTTGTCTTTTTTTCTGCCTCAAATATCGCTAATTAAGGGTTTGTCTAGTGAAAGAAGCAAAGCGTGCAGTTCTGTTTCTAACAAGTATACGGATTAGAAAAATAATTAAATGCATAAATCCAATAAACAACTTGACCATTAAAAAAATACTAATAAGAGTAATTAAAATATGATAACAATAAAAAAGGAACTAAGGGAAGATCCCATAATTTATGGTCTGTTTTTAGGACCACTCTCTTATCCACTGTCCATAAGACACATATCCCTATGTTTTTTTAAGACATTTTTTCTATAGATCGTCATGGTAATTTGATACTTTAATATTATTTTAACCATTCTACAAAAATAGACATAAAGCAAATAATAAATGAACATCATGGGAAGATTACTTGAGAGAATTCAAGAAATGGGTGAGGCATTGTATAAACATACGAATCTGCATGGCGTCTCAGTGAGATATATCTAGTTATTTATTAAAACTTGCCACAAAAATGTCAATTTGTTAGGTAGCTAATCAATTATTTTGTCAAAAAGTTAAAAACAATGTGTACGTGTGGATTTAGATGGTATAATTTAATTTGCTTCCCCAACCAAGTAAATAGTCAACTGTTTGTCTAATCTAAATTTTCTTTTCTCAAATACGAAAAAACAACACCAAACCTACAAAATTAGCATATTTGATAAAAGACTATAATAGAATTGTAGTTGGTCCTTTTATTGAAGAATTTTGTTCACAATTTTGCTGCGTAAATCAAGAACATATTTCAAGTTTTTTCAACCAAAGATTGAAGCTATTTTATTTGTTTTTTCAGGAAGGGAAAAAGAATGTACATGTAACATGTCTCTCCCACGTACGCGTGACAGCGATATTACGATAAAGCCGAACGTAGAAAATTCGATAGTGAAGAGTTCCGGTCAAGTAAGGAAGGTTAATTTGGGAAATTGAAGAAGGAGTGTGTCTTGAGTCATACATATCTTGTCTCCGTTTTACCCAACTCCGTGACTTTCTTCCTTCACTGTCAGACAAAAACCTTAACCATGGTTAACATAACCTGAACCTCTCCGGTTTAACTTAACCGCACTAACTAGATCTGCACAGACAAACTAGACAGTGGACACATGTTGAAGTTGCACAAGATCCTTTGAGATCGTACGATAAGGTTTAAACTTGGACTCTAATCAAAGCCGTAGAAGTGAATAGAGATATAGCAAACGCGACGGCTGTGATTAAAAGAGTACAAAGCAAAGCATCCAATTAAAAAGTAGCCGACTCAGGAGAAAAGGAACAAAAAACAACTCGTGAATTGAATGTCATATCAAGGAAATAAAGAAAAGAAAGTGAGAATATCAAGGAAATAAAGAAAAGAAAGTGAGAATAGTAGTGGTGTCAATTAGGCCTTGGCAAAATACCCGGAACCGAATACCCGAACCGAAAAACCCGAACAATACCCGAACCAAACCCGAATCCGATTTTTAAAAATACCCGAATGGGTCCTAACCTCCTACCCGAAAAAAACCCGAACCGAACCCGAACCGAATCCAATACCCGAATGTACCCGAATACAAATATACACCTAAAAATATTAGTTATATTTATATTTATAATACCCAAAATACCTAAAATTACAATCATAAATCCGAATATATTAGGTATTTTAGATATTGTTGGTTATATTTGGGTAAAGAGTAACCAATGTATTTTCGAGAAATCGGGTATTTCGGTTAGATTTGGGTATATATGAGTTAAAAACCCGAACCCGACCCGAACCCGAAAATATTTCGGGTATTTTTGGTTATTTTCGGGTATTTTGCTTTTTTATTAAAATACCCGAACCGACCCGAACCCGAACCCGAACCGAACCCGAATTTTTAGAATACCCGAATGGGTCTTGACCCCCTACCCGAATAGACCCGATACCCGAAAAAAAAGAACCGGACCCGAACGGGTACCCGAATGCCCAGGCCTAGTGTCAATGATGCTCTTCCTAGAATTTTCACCAAGAAATCATATTATTTTATCCACTCACTATTTTTTGAGTGAACTAAAAAAAGGAGTAGTATATGTAAGAAGTTGATATCAATTTAACAAAAGAAAAAGAGGAATAAAGAAAAAATAATCCAAATATGGATAAGGTCTGGACTAATTATCTAGTATAAATGGCCCATGAAAATCACGCTGAAAATGAGCCCAATTGTTGATCAAAGTTCATGAACTTGCCTTTATGGACAAATAGGTTGACTTTTGAGTTTTGACTACTAATACTAGTAGTTTTGTGATTTTTATCACATATATAATGCAAGTTTTTTCTTAGAGTTGGATGAAAAAAATTCATGGGCTTGCATATTTAATTGTACTACTTGCTTCAAATTTTTGTTCAAATTTGTTTTGGGCATTTAATTACATATCAAAGTAAAATAATAATAAATATTCATGGATGGTTTCAAAAAATATACAGTCTCACAAATTATGAGTTGTCTATATATATTACCTATAATAATGTGTATAACTATTTGTTTTTTAAAAGCTGAATTTCATTGATTTAAGCAGTATGATTATTTGTTATTTATGATTATGCAAAAAAAAATGTTTGTTTCTAATTATTTTTATGAGAAAATTGGATTTCTCTACATAACATGGATAAAATAAAACCGATAAAAAACATATACAATATATTTTGTAATCAAAGTGATACTGAATTTACTACCTGATTTATGATCTAATATGATTATTAAGTGGTAAACAAAATTGGAGGTATTATTTTGTTAATTAGAGTCCATGTCACGCAGTTGAAATTATCGACAACACGACAAACAATTTTTTTAAAAAAAAGCAGGAAAAAGGAGTTTCTTAATTCTTACAAGTTATAAAAAATATTAAAAATCAAAGCCAATGTCGGATACTATATCACCGATTAATAGCCCACCCAATGCTCCTCCCAAAAGCCCAGCTCCCATTCCAAGCCCAAGCCCTGTTTTATTATTCTTCGGGGGCGCTTGCGTCGTCGGACAGCCGTATCCATATCCCGGTGACGTCGTCGGCGGATAAACATACCCGTGCTGATTCTGCGGAGACGAAGGCGCGAACCCGTGAAACGACTGTGACGGTTGCGTTTGGTGGTATGAATGACCAGGAGGCGGCGGATAGGATTGATGATGCGTCGGAGAAGTACTGTAATACGGCGGAGGATATAAATTCGAGGCAGAGGGTGACGGAGGTGGATAAACGGTGGCTGGCTGTTCCGGGTAATGAGAATCGTACTGGTACGGATTCGGGTTCGGGTACGGGTACGGCGGTGCGGAATAATCTTGCGGCGGAGACGACGGAGGATATCCAATAGACGATAGTGGTGGATAGAAACTTGCTTCAGACGATGGCGGAGGATAATTCGTCGTCGTCGACGAGTAATCAGACGGTATATCCATCGGATTCGAGTAAACCGGTGGTGACGATGCCAGTAAATCCGGTTTAAACGACGGCGTATCGAACCGGTACGAAAAAGTCAACGAGCCTTGACCTTTCCCAAACGGAGTTTTCACCTGATACGTCACAAATCTCATCTTCCCCTGACCGTTACCGTTAATTGACGGCGAGGAAGAACCATGAAGAAGCCCAAGAACCGGAACTTGGACTTCTCCGAGATCTTTATCACCGAAGATCCGATCGCAGACCAATTTTACGACGAGGGTCAAACGGCCTTCGTGAGCTAACTTTTGATCAACGGAAAATTTGACGGTGTGATTCCAAGTAGGCTCAGATTCTCCGGTGCGATCGATAGGGGTTTTCTCCTTATGAATCTTCTGAGAATCATCGCCGGTGATCCAAACGACGGCGTATACATCCATTTTGGTGATAAGGTTGACATTTTCAAGATCTTTTGCAGAGTAGATGTTGAGCTCTAAGGTAAGATTCGCCATGGCTAAGATAGAGAGAGGTCGAAAGAGAAGGAGATAATTATTGTGTCCGTCAAAAATAGATAAATAAATGAATCTACGCGTAAAATAATTATTTATGTAACCGAAGCTTCTAAAATAATCGGAAAATTAACATAACAGATGTGTATCTAGTGGACAGTAGAAGATTTCCTTAGCTATATAGAAAATCAATCTTAGCCGTTGATTTGCACAGATCTTTGACACGTATTAAATCATGAAACCATATTCACAGACGCGGAAATTTAAATTTGATACAAAGAGTTAAATTTCTATTTTCAACCATTAATTGATGCAAGACACAATTTCAAAGATCATTAATATGGGAATTTATAAGTTAAGAAACTTCATTCCTACCATAAATTAATACTACAAGACTTAATTTCTAAAAACATTTTGGGCTCCACGACTGGGGAGTAACGTAGTCAACGCGGCATGAGACGAACCGGTTTCTGGCATTGCTGATTCGGCAGCGTTCTTTGGTTATCTTCCTAATCGGACCATCTTGCATTATCTTGATTCTCCACCTCCATTGAGCTCACGAAATCCATGTCTGATTCATTCATCGGAATTGCAAGCTTGATTTCATTCACAATCACCATTCTGTTAAACTGTTTTGAGCGTACAAAGGCAATGATGCAACCATCGGTTTATGGTAAACCAATTTGAATTAATCAAATTGAATCATTCTATATATAACTGAAATTAAATCATTCTACATATAGTTTCAACTTTCAAACCACAAATAGTAGACGTGTTAATTTTATAAATTTCGGTTATAACAATAGTAAATAAATCACCAACAATAAATAAATTACCCAAAAATCTATGAAAGACTTGAGTTCGTAGTTGATATCATGATTGATACCTAAGAAAACATGAGTAAATGATTGAATCCTCTCTCTCACATGATGTATAGTTTGTAGAAAATTAGTATTGGGACAAAGAATAACAAACCTCAGAAATAATGACTTCCCCAGCTCTTAATTCCATCTCATCCTTGTCATCCTCTAATCTAGAAGGTTTAGTGAAGGGAACAAATACTAAACCCCCAAATATGTAATAGTTTTGTGGAGGGGAGGGAGGGGGTGGGGGTTTGTAGTATTGTTGAACCTAAGAGTATGGTTTCCCAATGAAACACCATCAATTGAGAGGATGATATCTTTATATTTCAAGATGCCTTTAGCGTCCGACGAGGGACTGATTGCTTGAATAGAACTCTACATATGTTACGTTTCCGTACGAAAAAATAACAGAATCAATCATTTATCATTGGTTGATAGGTTAGACAGAGTGAGACAAAAATAAAAGATCAGTCGTTTTCTTCAATCCCAAAATTAGAGAAACAAAAAATGGTAAAAAAATTTGATAAATACATGAAACTAATAATGTAAAACTAATAATACACTAGATGTGATTTGTTGTTTCCCCCTTATGCGTATATAAACATTTTTGTACCTTTGAAGTGAAAAATTTGAAATAAATATAGTGATGAGATTCACACACTGAGCCGTCATATCATACTTTTTGCACATAATCTGCAATTTGTTTTTCTTGTTTGAGCAAATTTGTAAATAGTTTGGCTATCCTATAAGAAATAAAGACTATCTTCTTTTAAAATATGGGAGCTGATAAATGTAAAAATAAGTGTATATATGATCCATGATTATATCTAACTTAGGCATGATATTCATTTCACTGACGCATTAATAAAAACTATGCAATTTGAAAAAAAAAATCATATATATGAAAGTTAACCAATTCTCTTCATATGATTGACACATCATCACTTTAATATTTTTCATGTGTCGACTAAATAATTAATGTAAGTTCTATATCTTTTATTTCATACGTAAATGGTATATTTATTATTTAATTGTACATATTATTGAATTCACATATTTAATTATACCAATACTAACTTTATTTTATTATTATATGTTTTTTTCTTCGATGAAATTATTTTATTGGTTTTCTCATAGTAGTATAGTAGATTAGCTAATAGTATGAATAGATTATTTTCTTAAATTTTTATCTATATAATATATATCTGAGGTTGAAGAGTACGTAAAGAGCCACATCATCAAGTTTATGAGGTTTTTATAATTCCAATATTACTATTTATGGAATTAGTTTATGACGAATAATGTTTAAGGACTGTGTGATGCATTTTTGAGTATGTTGCTAAAAAAAATACTTTAAAACTAAGAATAATTTGAATGATTTTTTTTTTTTACATCTTTGGATCGACAAGGCCCGATCCATAACCAATCTCTACTACGCGGGGTAACGCGACTGAGTGGAGTCGAACTCCGGTGGGGAAAGCGGAGTCAAATGGACTTAACCACTTGACTGAAGACACATCCCTAATAATTTGAATAATTTGAATGATTAGATAATTAAAAATTATATTTATCAAAACATAATATTACATAAAACAAAGAAAAAAACTGCGACGTAGCACAGATGACCACATATAATATTAATAAACTGAGATAAACATGTTGAAGAACAAAACCCATATAGCATGTATCTCGTCGACTGTTACTATATTTTGTAATTTACCTATAAACTCATTTTGTATGAGATTTCCATTTTGTATATGTATTGCCTTTTTTTTTTTTTTTTTTTTGATTTTGTCCAAAACTTTAGAAAAATACTTGGGTTCACTCATAAGGATAAACTCTTTTATTCACTATATCTTTTTCTAACCAATCAAAATATACCCCCTAATAAAAATAAATAAAACTAAAAATTAGAAAATTATATATTGGTTTAGGTTTATAAAGAAATGTTAGGATTTAGATTTTTTAATTAAACAAAGTCCACAAAGATGTCCATAGATGATGGAGTCACTAATCACAAGTCAGAAGTCACAAAGCAACAACAAATCTTTTGTTTTGTCAAACATAGTGAATTACTCATACTAAATTCCTTGATTCCCAAAATACATCTAAAACCTCTCACAGAACTACCAAATGGGACTACAATGAACTGATCTTGTTCATTGTTATACACCAAACATTGTCATTTTCTTTTTCACTAGTAGCTTTCACGAGTAACTTCATTCTTCCTTACTACTCATGCGAACTTAATACTGGCCGGTTCTTCATCCATCCTTTCTTGTTATACACGAAGACCAAAATTTATTGCAAGGAGGTGGAAGAGAATTTTCAGTGTGATATCAGCATGGTTCGATTTGCTGAGTTCAATGAAGAACGAAAGCACAAGGGACTACGACAAACGACATAAAATGTTTGTTTCTTTCTGCGGTCTCAGAGAACATAACTTTGAACTAGTAAAACAAATAACCCCATAGACATGATTCTGAGAGACTACAAAGTTACTAATTGATACAAGACTTAATTTCAACGATCACTTTGGGCTCCAAGATTGGAGTAAAGTAGTTAATGCGGTATGAGACGAACCAGTTTCTGTCAAGGCTAATTCGGCTGCGTTCTTCATGGCCATGGTTCTCTCCCTAACCGGAGACTCCCCAATTATCTCTTGGACTCGTTTCTCCACCTCTGTCGAGCTCACGAAACCCGTCTCTGATTCATTCATCGAAATCGCAATCTTGATCTCCTCCACAATCACCACTCTATTAAACCTCTGCTCAGCGTACAACGGCCAAGCCACCATCGGCACACCTATTATAGTAAACCAATTCAATTAACCACAATGAACATTTTAAGCATGTATATAATTGAAATGTGTATATACTTAACTTACCTGCGCAAACAGCTTCGAGAATTGAATTCCAACCGCAATGAGTGACGAATCCGCCGACTGCTTTATGATTCAGAACCGGAACTTGCGGAGCCCATGATTTGACAACCATTCCTCTGTTTTCGGTTCGGCTTAAGAATCCTTCTGGTAAGAGTGATTTCAAATCCAGTTCTGTCTTTTCTAACTCGGGTGGATTACGGACCACCCACAAGAATCTCTGCCCACTTTTCTCTAAACCAACAGCAATCTCTTTCAACTGTTCTTTTGAGAACAAACCCAAGCTTCCAAAACAGAGGAACACAACACTCTTTTCCGGCTGGGAATCGAGCCAATTTAGACAAGAAACTGCCTTGTCATCGTTTTTATCTTCGGTTCTTCCGTTTACAATGAGCGGTCCAATAGGATATATATTGGGAAAACAGAGCTCCTCTGTTATGGCCTTGATGGCTTTGTTCTCTAAAGCATCAAACGTATTGATAATAATCCCTGACGACTTCGAGAGCTGTTTACCAAACATTATAAAAACATCATAGACCTCATCGTCTCGTTCGAGGACCGCCTTAGGCATATCAGAGCCCTTCATCGGAGGAACGCCGGGGATATGAAGTATAGGAATGTCTTTGAGGTTTTTTCCGGGGGTTGTTTCGTGGAGGATCGGGAGATAGAAGGAAAAGGCGAGACATGCGGCTCCAGAGGTGAAGAAGTAGTAAACCGGGAAGGTGAAGTCAGCGGTGATGTCTATAACCGCGGTGCAGAAGAAATCGATGATCATTGCTCGGATGTTGAAGTTCCGAGAGAGTGAGAAAAGGGTTCGGTGGACATTTGGGTTGCTAAAACAGAGGATTTCTAAGAGGAGAGATTCGTGGTGGTGGCGAGAGGTGGATGAGGAAGAGTACGGTGTGACGGCGGGAAGATGGTGGAAGGTTATTGAAGGGAAGGAGGAGGAGACGGAGGAAATGTAAGTGGCGGTTGATTCCGGCTGATAAGGCGGTGGAACTAAAATGATGTGGATGGATAGAGATGGGTTTTTGGAGAGGATGGTTTTGCCTAACTCAACCATGGACACTAAGTGACCTATTGGTGGTGCTGGATACAGAACTATAGCTTCTTCTCCCATGGCTCTTCCTAAGGTTTGTGAGATTTGTTGGAAGAATTGGAAAGTTAATAATAATGATGATATGGTTCACTGTCACACGTCTCTTTGAAGGTAAGAGATTAATTTTCATTAACTTTTTTTGGAGGAAACTGACAGAAAATCAGATGGACCAATAAATGGTATGATCCATGGATAATGGTTGCACCTCTCGACAAAATAATGTCACAAGTCAAAAGTTTTAGACTTTGTAGTCACAAAACAGCGAGAATTTCTTTAACCGGGGTTAAATAAATTTAATATATATATTTAAATGATTTTAGAGAAAATTAGCATCTATACCATATTTGGCCCAATTCTTTTTCATTCTACCACATTGCAGGTCCATTTATCACTCATACCACAATTGAGGTGTGTAATAACCATTTTGCTCTTTCTTTTGTTTTCTCAAATTTCGAGGACAAAATTCATAGATTGATCACACAAAAAGAAGTTTACATACAGTTGTCCCCGAAGTTTGATTTTCTCCATAATTTCATCTTATTTTTGCATGTTTGCTGGTTTTTGTCCCTCAATTTTAATTCATTGTTCTTAGACTTTAGTATGTAAACTCTAATTGCGGTATTTTCATTTTGTTTGATGTTTATATTTCGTTTGATTATTGTCCCCGAATAGGTTTTTTGTCCCCCAGATACTTGTCCCTAAATGTTACACTTTATCTGCCACATCATCCGAAGGCAAAACCGTCTTTTTCATATCACAATACCACATGAATGTGGTACAAGTGCTAAACCATTCTCCATTGTGGTAGAGATGCTAAGAAATTTGAAAAATGTGATACATTTGGCAAAAATCCCATGATTTTAAGTCAAATAACCAAATATTGATATAAGTTGATAGAGAAAAAAATTAAGTCGACTAAAACAATATGTAAGTCGACAGTTCAAAAAGTTAACCTTATTAATATATCAACGTAAAATAAAATAAGTTTACTAAAAATAAACAAATATGCGGGATAAAATTATAAAATCAACAATGCTGAGTAATTAAGCCACACACTTGGCTTGTTTTATTCAAACCATAATTATTAACTCTAGTTACCACTGAGTAGCATACAACACTTACTAAAAACAAAATAAACGATACTTAGCCAAACTGAACCGAACCAAACCGGTTTAGTTGTTTTTGGCGGCGTTTTCAAACGACCAGCTCCAAATGTCGTGACGCTCAACTGCACGTCCCATGGAACCAGCAAAACCAGCGTACATGTTTTGAAGAAGAACTTCATTGAGCACTCTCGGAGCTTCAATCAAAGCCCTCTTAGGTTTCTTAACGTTTTCAGGCGCGAGCGTAACCGTAATCGTTGAGTCTTTGCTTCTGAACTCAACCCAAGCCTTGAACCTCTCTCCACTGCTAAGATTCACATCTTTAAACGACCAAACTTTCCTTTTACCGACTCTTGTCTGAACCCAGTAACCAGCTTTCTCAGCGACAAGAGAAGTCATCGAGTTGATGTTAACTCCAACATGGTTACCATTAATGTCTAGAAACTCTTTGTTCTGAAAAGTGTCGAATTCGATAGCCAAGATGTGGTTTTCTGGCTTTCCATCGTTGGTTTTGTTGAGGATACCGAGATATCCGCCACCCGAAGCACCAGAGTTATCAGCTTCAGGGACTACGATGAAGGCAAGGCCTTGACCGGAGTTAGGTTTGGTTCGAGGAGTGATGGAGAAAGTGAAAGAAGTTTCAAATGAATAAGGAGAAGAAGTGTTTGAAGGTTTGAATGGGATTTGATTGATGTAAAGACCTTGACCGTGAGAGAATGGGTTCTCGTCTCGGGTCATGGATAAAGCTCCTGATCGGCTTACACCATCAGAGGAAGGACCAAGCTCTGCGTCTCCTAGGAATAGCAAGTTGTTGCCATCGAAGGATTTGAAGTTGAATTTGACGGCAAAAGCTGCGTTAGCTAAGAACAGAACAAGAAAACAGAGTTTGTGAATCTGCATTGTGTGCGTGTTTTTTTTTTTTTTTTTTTTTTTTTTTTTGTTGTTGTTGTTGTTTTTTGTGATTGAAAGATTGATGATGAAAATATTTGGAGGTTGATAATGTGTTTATATAAGGGATAACGTAAGCCATCGAGTTTGAATATTCAAATTTATACTTCGAAAAATGGTCAAATAAATTAAGCCAAGTGGATTCGTTTCAGATCAGACGCCACCACAATGGCCTAGCAGTGAAAATGGACCCATCAGATGTGTTTCAATGAACAAATTAATCTTATTCTTTTGATAAAATATAATTGATTCGAGTAATAATTGATTATAAATATAATTGATTCGATAATAATTGATTGATTATATTATGTGTTTCTTGTCCCCTTTCTCTACGAAACATTACGAATTTCATGCGTCGTGTACAAATCTGTAAGACATTGACACTTTTAGTTTATATGAACTATTTTCGTTATGTGGATGCAAAATACGTTTTTCTGACGTCAAAATAAATACACTCTGGAAGTTTACGTGGATGCAAAAAAACGTTTGGCAATCTCATTAAAAAGTGTTTAGAAAAAAAAGAAAGATAAAAGTAATCATGCTAATAATTAAGAGCACACGTTTTAACTTTAACTGAAATCTCTTTGATCCAACAAACAAAAAAAATAACTCATTGATAAGAAAACACTTTCTCTTAAAACAATTACAAACCTCAATGAAAACTCATATCCGTTGAGAAAAATAAGAACACACATATGTTTATTTAGTTTAACTTGGAAGATGTCTTCTTCTACGTATGAATGGTCTTCATTCTTTCATTATATTCTCCATGTGATAGCTAGTCATGTAATTGCTTTTGAAATCAATCCTTGTTTATTAGGAAAAATCAAACATCAAAGGAAGAACACTCCAAGGAAGAAGGTTGATCGTATTGTCTTTGAACGGATCATCAAGCAACATAGGAAGACAAATGTCCTTAGATATGAACGACTTTATTTTGTGACGTTCCAAGATTTGTAACGTTGCTTTTTTAGCAGATTCATAGTTGAGGACCAAAACTTTATGATTTTTAAAGTCCAGCCTCAAATCTTCGGTGCTACATTCCTCTATTAGCTCGCATAGATGCTTGAGATTCTTTACTTCCACTCCGTTCACTTTCTCCACCTGTTTCCACCACAACTATTATCTTTTCCTAGACATGATAATTGCATAAAATTTGGAACTATGTTTTTAAAAAAATAAAAAATTTGGGACTATGTTTTTAAAATAAAATAAAATTTGGAACTATGTTTATCTCTCTATCGTTTTTATCATTAGATTTAAAGTTGAGACAAACTAATGGCGTTTCTGTTAGCTTTCACCAAGAAAGTCTCAAGAACAAGTCATAAATAAATTACCTGAGCACCATCTAAACTTTGGTATCCTTCGTTGATGTCATCTGCTAATATCTACACCAAGAAACAATTTCTCTAAGTGCAATGCCTAAATGTTATTTTGAAAAGAAGACATTATTTTTTAAACTAAACATGCTTTTATTGTTTTATTGTTAAGAAAAAAAAACATCTTTAGTAGCTCTACATATCCTCATTCTTTCTACCAAACTCAGATTCAAATTAAACATGATTGAATTAAAGAGAAAAAAAAACAAATAGTATCGTGGACAAAGAAAAATGCAAACCTCGGAAATTTTGACTTGGTGATGTTCACTATCAAGATATGTTTTAGTGAGAGGCACAAAAACAAAACCCCCAAATATGTAGTAACTTGGAAGATTATAAAATTGTTGCACTGTAAAGTTTGGTTTCACCTGCGTACAATAGAAAGTGGTTCAGAACAAAATGTGAACGAGAAGGGCCAAACAATTTAGAAAATATAACAGACGATGATTTACCGGTTTTAGACTGATATTGTACTCATACTCTTTTCCGTTTCGTAAAACTTTAACTAAGGCTTTTTCACCTGGTTTCTTCATAGAAACCAAGTAGCTGAAATCTATCCGTCTTTTGTTTTGGAAAGGAACTGCATCAAACAGAAACTCACTTCACAAGTAAATATGGAGAACATTAAGCAATATCTATTACCAATAGTATTACCTTTCTCATCATTTCCTATTGGAACACCATCAATTGCAAGAATAATGTCGTCTTTTCTCAAAATTTTGTAAGCCCCCGACGACGAGTTTATTTTGTTTATAAGAATTCCTGTCATTTCATGGCTCATCTTGTAATGATTATGGATTTGAACATTTTCGAGAGATTGGTATGATAGATCCAATGAGCCGAAACCAGAATATTGTCTGCTCTCTTGAACACCAGTTATGAAATGCTTAATTATTGGAGTTGGGATCACAAAACTGCATGTAAAAACCACACCCAAAAAAAAAAAAAAAAGTTAAAAGAGTTTCACCCACCTCTTGATACAAATGTATGCAAATTGATTATCTAAGATTTACAGTTTAGCTTTCAACTTACCCCATTTCATATACTACACCAACGACTTTGTTTCCCATAATCACCGGGCCACCAGTATTTTCATCGTTGATAGTTGCATCAATTTGTATTGATAGCAGATCGTTGTCACTGTAATCGTATATTCTAGTTTCAACTCTAAGTACTAGTCCTTTTGTAATGCAGATATTGTCACCACCTGCATTTGAGCACATTAATTCTACTAGCCAAATCAAGAGAAAAGTTAAATCATTTAACATAATTTTATGGTATATTAGAATATGAATTATAAGATTGTAGGAAAGATGCATGAGCACACTTCTATCCCTCTCTAATCTATTACCATGCTTTTATACTCTCATATGATAAATTTGAAACATTGTCAAGTAAAAACCATATGAATAATTACCAACAACGGACACAACTTCTTCGAGAGGTGGTATGTCTCCAAGCTCCAAGGGATTCATACCCTTCCAAAACTCGTCACTATCGATCTCCAAGATGGCCAAATCACATTCATGTGAAATCTTTTGAACTTTTGCTTTGTATTTGATTTGAGAGCCATGTCTTTTGACGTCCACGAATGTGTGATCATTCATAGCCATCACCACATGAGCGTTCGTAAGAATTTTCTTTCCCGCGATTGCAAATCCTAGAACATCAATTTCAAGCCATAAAAATAACAACTTTGAAGTGACCTTTGAGATAAGTATAGTCACATACCAGTGCCCCTGGATGATTTTTGGTCAAGAGTCTGCCAAGGTTTGGATTTGCTATACCCGGTAGAGTCAGAGAATACCTCTACAACCGAATCCAGCACCAATTCATCAACAGGACGACTTTCTTCTATTTTCTTCCACCGTTCTAGCTTCTTTGCATCTTCATGTATTGAATGGATCTTTCTTCGGCCAGTTAACGCAAATGGAAGAACTACGCCCCTCTCTGCTGCTGATGTGCTCCTCCTGCATAGATAGTCATATCTGGAAACTCGGCCGGCCGTTGTTACCGTTGGCAGTGAATTGGTCAGTACATTATTGCAACTTCGGTAAAAGAAAAGAGAAGAGAGTAAACCAGGAACCCGAGCTCTCGTGTACCGCCCCACCATATCAACACACGCCCGGAAAACCATATCAAGCTTATTGGAAAATCGAACCCCTGGTTGATGCTACTGTTTAAATAGGAAGTCCTTTTTTTTTTTCTCTTCCTTTTCTAATCAAAGTTTTTTCCATTTTTCGTCTTCAAAAATTTCCTTTACTTATCGTAGAGAAATTGGTTTGCTTTCTCTCCAAGGAACCTTTAACTTTTCTTTTTTTGAAGTTTGAACAAATCATCAAAAGCTTTACCAACAGATTCATTTTTTTTTTAACACGGCTTTTAGGAGCTGGTAGATGTATAAGTCTTGTTCAAAATTCGAAATATTTTACATTCTCTCATTGTTTGCTTAGATAGGGCATTGAATTAATTATATAAAAAAAAAACCTAGAGGAAACCACAACATGATTTTTTACTTATAGATTATTAGCGTGCTCCACTAGAGAAAGTTAAACTACATATATAGTATTCGTCGTCCCAAGTCATTTCGTTTTTTTAGTTTTTATACAAAAGCAAAAGATTCTTTAGATTAAGCTGAATCTCAACCTTTTTAAAAATCTTGTTCTGCTTTTAGCCTTGGACAGGCCATAAACAATCCTAGTATCTTTGAGCTTACCTTCGGACAAAGCAGCAAAGGAAGACAACTCCAAGGCATACGGTCAATCCTATTATCTTTGATCGGATAATCAAGTTGCGGAGGGAGACTACTCGCTGCCCCAAGCCGATTTTATATTGTGACGTTCCAAGATCTCAAATGTTGCCTTTTTAGCAGATTCATAGTTGAGTACCATAACTTTGTCATTTTCCAAGTCCAGCCTCAGATCTTTGCTACAACATCCCTCTATTAGTTCACATAAGTGTTTTAAATTCTTTACTTTCACTCCGTTTACTTTTTCCACCTGTTCCCACCCCAAATATATTTTCTTTTAGTGAAAGACAAATTAATAAATGATTGGTGTTTGGGATTCATCCAAGAAGTCTCATAAATGAATTACCTGTAAATCTTTGAAATTACTGTATCCTTTGTTAATGTCATCTGGCATTACCTAAAATATAAAAAGGGAAATATTATTTGTTTTAAATTCGAAATAGTTTACATGCTCATAGTCTCATTGTTGACAAAATCAAGGGACGGAAAAGAACTACTACTAGCAAAAAAATATCTTAGTAGCTCAAACAATTATCATCATTCTTTACAATAAACTAATATTCAGCTTGGCACTGAGTTTAAAAGAGGATTTAGTATTGTGGACAATAAAAAGCAAACCTGAGAGATTATGACTTGTTGTTCATCGGTAATTTTGTACTCATCATTTAATACACATTCTAAGCTCAAATCATCAATGTACGATTTAGTGAGAGGCACAAAAACAAAACCACCGAATATGTAATAACTTGGAAGGTTATAATATTGTTGCACTGTAATGTGTGGTTTCACCTGACAACAGTAAAACATAGTTCAAACAAAATGCGAACTAATATAGCCAACAATTTGGAAAGGAGTCATAAAATTTTGATTACAAATGAGGACTTACCGGCTTTAAACTGATATTGTATTCTTGCTCTTTTCCCTTCCTTAGAACCTTTACTAAGATTTTTTCATCTGGTTTCTTCATAGAAATAAAATGATTGAAACTTATTCGTTCCTCATTTCGAAAAGGACCTGCATCACACATAGTCTCACTTAATAGTAAACATGGAAAACATTAAGCGATTTTAAAAAATATATATAGTTTATATTACATGTTTCATCATTTCCTATTGGAACACCATCAATTGCGAGAATGATGTCATCTTTTCTCAGAATATTGTGAGCCCCCGACGATGAGTTTATTTTGTTTATAAGGATTCCTGTCGTTTCAGGGCTCATCTTAAAATGATTACGAATTTGAGCATTTTCCATTGACTGACATGATAGAACTAGTGAGCCGAAAACAGCGTTATGGGAGCTTTCTTCTGCACCAGTTATGAAATGTCTAATTATTGGGGTTGGGATTACGACACTGCATGTGAAAACCAAAGTGAGAGAAAAAAAAAACGTCAGGGAAAATATATGCAAAAGTGAAGGTTGCACCTCTTGATCTCAAATGTAAGCAAAACTATATCAAACAACTTACCCTGTACTTTTCTCATCTCCAAGATCTTGAAATACTACACCAACGACTTTGTTTCCTGTAATAACCGGGCCACCACTATTTCCATTGTTGGTAGTTGCGTCAATTTGTATTGTCAGTAGTTTAGTGGAACTTTGAAGGTAATTTCCAGTTTTAACTCCAGTTACAACACCTTTTGTAACGCATATTGTTTCACCAGCTACATTTGAGCAAATAATGGAAGCATAATAAGAGCTAGTTTCATTAATTATCACCAAAAAAATTTCCGTAATTTAATAAACATGACTTGCAAGCATGATGATTTCTTGGATGCTATGCAGTATTGGAACTCATACGAAAATAGAAACGTGAGTTGAGCACATTAATTCTCGCTCGTAACCAAAGCAGAATAAAAGTTTCATAATTTTAACATAGTTTCTTGGTATATTGTAATATGAATTATAGACCATAGGAAACTAGGGCAAACATCTATCTATTACCATGCTTTATACTCATATGATAGTTTGAAACATTGTCAAGAATAAATACCTTCTGGATAACCAACAACATATACAATTTCATTGAGAGGCGGTATGTCTCCGAACTCCAAGGGATTCATACCCTTCCAAAACTCGTCGCTATCGATCTCCAAGATGGCCAAATCACACTCATGTGCAATCTTTTGAACTTTTGCTTTGTATTTGACTTGAGAGCCATGTCTTTTCACGTGCACGAATGTGTGATCATTCATCACCTCCACCACATGAGCGTTCGTAAGAATTTTCTTTCCCGCGATTGCAAATCCTAAAAACATCAATTTAAAGCCAAAGTAACGCATAAAAAAAAAACCTTGATGTGAGCTTTGAGATAAGTATAGTCACATACCAGAGCCCCCATATGATTCTTGGTTAAGAGTCTGCCAAGGTTTGACTTTGCTATACTCGGTAGAGTCAGTGAAGACCTCTACCACCGACTCCAGCATCAATTCATCAACGGGAGGACTTTTTTCTATTTTCTTCCACCATTCCTCATCCTTCGACATGGTATGGATCTTTCTTCCGCGAGTTAATGCAAACGGAAGAACAATATTAGCGATCCGGCTAGAGATTGTTACCGTCGGGAGTAGAGCTCTCGAGTACCGGGACACCATACCAACACACGACCGGAAAAGCATATTGATAATTCATCTTAGTGAAAACTCGAACCTGTTTATGTCTTGTTGATAATATACTAGTGTTTAATATAAATTGCCCTTTTTCCTTTTAATTATTTTCCATTTTTTGCATGAAAACTTTCCTTCATCTATAATTAGAGTAAATATCTAGAGAAACTTGGTTTCCTTTTTCTTTCCAAGGAACTTTCTTTGAACTGAAAGAATATTTATACATATTCAAAAGTTTATAGCTAACAAAAATGTTGGTAGTACTGTTAAAGATGTTAAATACAATGGTAATGGTATTACAATGTCTTTATTAAAAAATGGAACACAAAATAGTTCAAGTTAAAGAAGAAAAAAAAACCATTAAACTTGAAGAATGTGGTCTTGAATAAACACAGGAATGTTTGTAGGATTTAGGTATTTACAATTATAAATTCAAACATCTAAGCCCGTCTAGCTCAGTTGGTAGAGCGCAAGGCTCTTAACCTTGTGGTCGTGGGTTCGAGCCCCACGGTGGGCGCATTTTATTTTTGGCAATTCTCTGAAGGAAGGAACATTAAAAAATTGGGTTTCACAAAGGTTTGAATTCAACTTAAGAGTGCAAAGACTTAGTAATGGGCCGTATGGGGGAGATTACTTGGGCTACCTTGAGAATTTTGGCTCATGAGGTCAAGAAATACTGAGAAGATTAATTCGAGACGTATTCCCCCTTTCGTTTTACATTTTAAGATGATGATGTGTGAAATTAGTTATGAATATTTATTATTAGTCCTAAAAGAGTTATTAAAGTTAACTACCAAAAAACAGAGTTATTATAAATTTTAGAACTCTATAAAGTTTCGGGCTTCTTAATAATGAAACACTAAAAGGATAATGATAATGATAATAAAGTACTTTTATTAAAAAAAAAGAGAAATTTTTCATAATTCTCTAAAGATTTTCTGACCAATTGTCCCTGTATTAAAACTAATAATATGTATTTTTATATAAAATCAAATAAATTAGATATAAGAACAAATAAAAGTGAAAGAAGAATTTATAAATTTATATTTAATGTAGGTAAAGAGAGTTTAGGAAATTAGCAATTAATTGAATGTAGTGCAATAAAGATAAAATTTAATTAAGGATATAAAGTTAAGATAATATCTTATTGGAATAGATTTTGTAGGGACTAAAAACTAAATAGTATTTACTTTTAGGACAAAAATTTCGCTGGAGGATATATTATGTCATAACTCAATTGTAATTATTCATAAATTGGACATTAAGAAAGGAAACTATTTATGTAAGTGTTTAATGTAGATTGATGATATGTAAGTTTTCTACTTTAGAATATTTTGTTTAGATATATTTTGTAAGGACTTGAAAGTTAATAATAATTTCTTTAAGGATTTTTAACAAAATCTTTACCAAAAATGTATATGTAGATCTAAAATTAATTAATATCATTTAATCCAATAATCATGATAACAAAATTGTGTCACCTTTTTAATGGAGTATAAACTATATAAATAACATGGTTCTTCTCCTAAACTGCAAAGAGAAGATCTCGTTGACTCCCCAAAAAAACCAAAAAAAACAAAAAAAAACCAAAAAAAGAAACAGAGCTAATGGTTCCGCTTCCACGGGAGCTAGAGGAAGATATACTCTCTCGGCTTCCAGCACAATCTCTTGTTCGATTCAGATCGGTTTGCAAACGATGGAATGCTCTTTTTGATGAAAAAAGTTTCAACAAGGACCAGTTCGCTCGTGCTCGTCCTCAGTTCATCTGCATGACCAATTCCAATATTTATTCGATAGAGATCATCGGTCTCGACGGCGTAGATCCTACGATTAATTTGCTTGATCTGCCTTCTAAACCTTACTACCGGAAATTGGATTTTAACTGCATAAGCATCACTACTTGCGATGGGTTCTTGTTTTGTAACTCTTTCCCAAACGCCTTCGTTTTCTTTTGCCCGGGGATGACCAAGGGGACAGCTTTTTGGAATCCGTGGTTGAAACAGGTTAAATGGATCGATTTTGAGGATAAAGATTTTGATGCCTGTGGCTTAGGATACGATAATACTAGAGACGAAAAGGTTTACAAAATCTTGGGGTCTTTTATGTGTCGTCGTGAAGTTGCGATATACGATTGTACCTCTCAAGCGTTCAAGTTTATTGATACACCTAACGAGGACTGGTCCATAACCGATGTTCAACGATCCAGTGTGTCCTTGAACGGAAATCTCTATTGGATTTCTCCTATTCCCGACAAATTTGATTTTTGTGAATTTCTCATCCGAAGCTTTGATTTCTCGAGGGATATATTCAAACCCTTTTGTCTCCTTCCGTGTCGGAAGATGGATTTTTGCGATTTACTTGTCCTCCAAGTTTTCAATGAAAATAGGTTATCCTTGTTAAAGCAATGTTATAAGACAAGGAAGGTTGAGATTTGGGTTACGAAGAAGAAGATTGATTCTAGTAACTACAACAGTGGGGAGGAAGTTGTGTGGATTAGCTTGTTGACTTTTCCATCAAGTAACTTGCCAAACTTATGTAATAAGCGTTACGACATTAGTTACTTCATCTATGACAAGACCACCCTAATCATGTGTTGTGGTGACGATGGAGGTGGAACCCCTTGCATCTATATTGTCAGGGGAGATTTCTTCAAGAAGATTCAAATTAACTCTGGGGTTTTCCGGTGTTGTCACTGTATTTATGCTCCCAATTTCATCCCGGTTCCTTTAGGTTCAGATTGCAAGCCTAATAATTTTATCACATTTTCTTGATTCTTGTTCATGTCTCAACTTTCTTAGGGTTTAAGTCAGTTTGCTTTAAACCTTGTATGAAATTGTCTTGATAATAAATTTATACTATCTCAAACATTGCTGATCAACACACTTTCACTTCGAACTTAACCAAAAGGTTTGTAACCGTTGAGTCAATTTTACAAATGAACGTAAGAAATGTAGAAGTTGTGAATAATAAGGTGCTTTAAAATAAATACTCAATTTCAACATATATTTCACTAGTAGTTTAGCCAATTGACAAAACCGATTCAGTCTATGTTACAACTTACAATCCAAGGGTAATAAAACCAAACCGACTAATCACCCAAAAGGCCAAAAAAAAAAATCATCATCAAAATCACACGAACGTAGAAGCCTTTGAGGTACGTTGATCGGTACCTAGAGTGATTACCATTATCGTTACATCGTCATGATATCTCCTTCTCCGACCAGCCGGAACATTCGTCAATTCTTCCAATATGTGAAGCCTAAATCAAAGTGTTTTCTTTTGTCATTATAGATCATGAAGTTTCCAAATTGTTACCATAAAAAAAACACACTTTAACGTCGAACTTAACCAAAAGTTTTGTAAGCATTGAGTCAATTTTACAAATATACGTAAGAAATAATATACAAGGTGCTTCTAGTGTTGTCATATGATTAAAGATCAGCGTAGGTAACCAACATTATCTTGGAAGGATATTCACATTAACGACGCGATCAAATCTCTACTACATTAAGCTCTCAATTCAACATTTATTTCACTAGTAGTTAGCCAATTGACAAAACCGATTCAGTCTATGTTTACAACTTAATTACAATCCAAGGTAATAAACCAAACCGACTAAACACCCAAAAGGCCAAAAAAAAACCAGAACATATGACCATTTTTAAGGGAAATATGGTAAACTTTTTTTAGAACTCTAAAAAGTTGTGGGTATAAAGATATGATCATGTAATAATTCCCTTATATTTTAAATTCCTTAATTGCTTTTTTTTTTTACTATAATCTAAAATTAATTAAAATCCTTTGATCTAGAATTAATTAAAATTCATGATACCAAAATTGTGTCACTTTTCTAATGGAGTATAAAATGTAATAATATAGTTGTTTTTTTTTCTTCTCTTAAACTGCAAAGAGAAGACAGAGCTAATGGTTCCGCTTCCATGGGAGCTAGAGGAAGATATACTGTCTCGGCTTCCACCTCAATCTCTTGTTCGATTCAGAAACGTTTGCAAACGGTGGAATGCTCTTTTTGATGAAAATAGTTTCATCAACGACCACTTTGCTCGCGTATGTCCTCAGATCATCTTCATGACCAGTTCCAATATTTATTCGATAGAGATCATCGGTCTCGACGGAGTTGATCCAACGATTAAGTTGCGTGTCCTAGACTCCTCTGGTATTCCTTACCGTGAAAAGAATTCTGCTTACATAACCATTACTGCTTGCGATGAGTTCTTGTTTTGTAACTCTTGGAATAATCCCCAGGGGACAGCGCTCTGGAATCCGTGGTTGAAACAGGTTAAATGGATCGAGTACGAGGATAAAGGTTTCCATGTCTGTGGCTTAGGATACGATAATACTAGAGACGAAAAGGCTTACAAAATCTTGGGGTCTTTTATGTGTCTCCGTGAAGAGAGCTCTTACGAATACCACCAGAGAGTTGCGATCTACGAGTGTGCCTCTCACGCGTTCAAGTTTATTGATACAGGTAACGAGCACTGGCCCTTAAGCGATGTTGAACGACTCAGTGTGTCCTTGAACGGAAACCTCTATTGGCTTCATGTTATCCCCGGCACAGTTGGCATTTTCATTCGATGCTTTGATTTCTCGAGGTCGAGGGAGATATTGAAACTCTTGTGTCTCGCTCCGTGTGGGAAGTTGGATGAGTCCGATGTACTTGTCCTCCAAGTTTTCAATGAAAATAGGTTATCCTTGTTAAAGCAATATTGTTATGTGACAAGGAAGGTTGAGATTTGGGTTACGAAGAAGAAGATTACTAGTAACAACAGTGGAGAGGAAGTTGTGTGGATTAGATTATTGACTTTGCAACCAAGTAAGGCCGTGTTCTGGGCAAAATCGCAGCGATAGCGACTGCGATCAATAAATAACCTTCAACTAACTTTAATTTTTTTTCTTCTCTTCTTCATTTTCTGCCGTGCGACTCTTTTCCGATGATTTTGGAGTCGCCGGAATAAGTGGCGATTCTATCCATACTTTATTTTCAAGTTGCGACTGTTATTTGGTTTAAAACTCATGGACGGAGCTTTACGAAACTGCCCGGAGAAGATGAAGGATCTAACCCAAAAATCCAATTCTTAATTAACAATTTCTGAAATTTGCCATTCTACCCTCTAAATTATAAATAATTACAAATATATTTCTTTTTAAAAGAATCGCCGGTGGGAGTCGTGCGATTTTGAAAAGAACACGGCCTAACTTGCCAAACTTATTTAATAACTGGTATGACATTAGTTACTTCATCTATGACAAGACCACCCTAATCATGTGTTGTGGTGACGATGAAGGTGGAACCCCTTGCATCTATATTGTCAGGGGAGATTTGTTCAAGAAGATTCAAATTGACTCTGGGGTTTACCGGTGTTGTCACTGTGTTTATGCTCCCAATTTTATCCCGGTTCCCTTAGGGTTCAGATTGCTAGCCTAATAATTTGATCATATTTTCTTGAATCTTGGTCATGTCTCTGTTTTCTTAGGTTTAAGTCAGTTTGTTTAAAACCTTGTATGAAATTGTCTTGATGATAAATATATAGACTTACTATCTCCAACATTGCTGATCAACACACTTTCACTTCGAACTTAACCAAAAGGTTTGTAACCACTGAGTCAATTTTACAAATATTATACGTAAGAAATGTAAAAGTTGTGAATAATAAGGTGCTTCTAGTGTGTCATATGATTAAAGATCAGCGTAGGTCCCCTACATTATCTAAGACGGATATTCACATTAACGACGCGATCAAATCTCTACTACATTAAGCTCTCAATTCAACATTTATTTCACTAGTAGTTAGCCAATTGACAAAACCGATTCAGTCTATGTTACAACTTACAGTCCAAGGTAATAAACCAAACCGACTAAACACCCAAAAGGCCAAAAAAAAAAAAACAGAACATATGACTCAGGCTGAGACAAACTGATGAATTCTAGGCTCGCAACTAAGACTACTACAATGATATATATACGGACTATACACTGAAATAATATTATACCAGTTCCAAAGAATTGAAAAACTGATGATCAGTTTCAACGTCTAATCCAAGATCAGTGAGACTAATTACAATTTTACCAATCCAACATTTATCGCCATCATCATCAAAATCACACGAACGTAGAAGCCTTCGAGGTACGTTGATCTGTACCTAGAGTGATTACCATTATAGTCACATCGTCATGATATCTCCTTCTCCTACCAGCCGGAACATTCGTCAATTCTTCCAATGTGAAGCCTAAATCAAAGGGATTTCTTTTGTCATATAGTAGATCATGAAGTTTCCACACATTCGTTGAAGTAAACTTAAAATAAAAAAGCTTCTTACCAGCACGAGCAGCAGCTTTAGCTACAAGACGTTCAAGCAGAAACTTTGCGGGATCACCAGAAGGATTGCTAGAAATGAAGGAATGGACAAGCTCAATCGCTTCCTCGTTGCTGAAGAAATCAAACAAACCATCACTTGCAACTATAACAAAGTGATCTGATTCCGTTATCTTGTGAACTCTCATTGATGGTTCCACTGAAACATAAGGCGGGCTCAAAAGGTTACGAACGCGGAGGATCCCCATGAGTGCATCGTTTAGTTTCTCCTGCAAATTAATGGAACACAAGCTATTTGATACTTTTTCTTTGAAGTATAAAATCATAACTCAATAATAATACTAATACCTTCTTCAAGTAACCAACTCCGAGTGCACGAGTAACTTTAAGCTTTCCTTTGATTTTCCCACCAATAACGATTTTGGGATCATCAAGATGTTCACTTAAGAGTCTAGCTTCTTCGACTTCGTTATCAACTGTGTGATCCTCTGTGAGCTGAACAGCTTGCAGCTTCTTATTACCATTGTATGTCGCTAGAACAGCTCTGCTATCACCTAGATTAAGGACGTATAGATCCTTTCCAACAAGGAGAGTGACCAAAACACAAGATCCAACTGATACTAAATCCGGTCTTTCTTCCATTTCTTGCTCAACCATCCTTAGGAAATCGATTTCCGCCTGAAAAAGTGCACGGTTTAAGCAATCTAGCACTCCTTGTCTGAACAAATCAGAAGAAGAATAATCTATTTTACTTATATTTGATAACAATTCCAGTTTTTCGCCATCATCATCGGACTTTGCAAGGCTTTGCTTCATTTGACGATCAAGCAACTGAAGATGAAACACAATGGACTCATACAAAGTACAAGCCAAGAAATCAGCAGCATCTCTTCCATTAAATCCATCATAAATAGCGCAAAACAACCAACCATTCTCCTCAGAGCAAACAGCTTGAACCCTATCTTCCCCTGCAGCACCACCCGCAACTTGAACTTCCATAGCAGAGAGAAGAAACCCTTCATTAACAGAAGAAGGAGAACTCATTGATGTCAAGTAACAAGACTCTGGCTCAGGAGGACTCGGGCTAGTAGACGAGCTACAGCTTAGACTCACCATACTTCCATGAAGAGAAGGAGAGAGTATGTCAAGCTTAGAAAGCGCAGGCGAAGAAGGAACTTTCCTAAACGATTTCGGAGAATCCAGAGACGGCAATATCTCAGAACCAATCACTCCATTGCAGATATTAGTATTAGCTAAAGTCGGGTTTCCGCTTAAAGCAGCTCCTGATAAACAAGAGAAACTGCTTGTCTTTTGAAGCCTAAACCCACCAAGAACCTCACGACCATCAGCAATGTTATCTTCAGGGATCCCTATCTTCTTATTATTGCATTGATAACCAAAACTTATCTCAATCTCACCATAAGGATCAGTCCCTTCCTGCATCTTTCCCACTTTCTTGAAATGTTCTGAAACAACAAAGATCCACAATTCAAGAAACTTATAAGAGACATATCAAGAACTGAATTTATCAAAGTCTTGGATCCAAAAAACCATCAAGTTTAGTCCTTTTTTAATCTTCAACAGTCCTCCTAATTACAAAAACCTCCCACTTCAAAAAATTTAGCTGCTTTAATGACCATAGAGACAAAATACGTGGTGAGAGTCTAAGCACACATCGAAAGTGAAGATAGATGGGGCCAAGGTAACGAACAGTTACACAAGTTAAACGTGAGAGTTAAAAAAAAATCCTTTTTTCATAGGAGGCCATTAAATGCAGACCACATAAGTTGTTGACAAAATGTTTCAAAGATAAAATGTTTTGACAGAGATAAACCCAGAAACAGAGAAACATATAGATTAGTTTCATCAAATTTTGAAAGTATTCACCGTAACATGGATTATAACAAAATCTCCTAAACATTGATATATCAATAATTCCATTGATAAGACAAATCAAAAACTCGCAATCCGAATTGAAAAAAAAAAAGAAGGCTAAATCAGATTATCGGAAGGAGACATTGAGGATGAGAGAAATGGGTTTACCTTAACGTATACGGGGATGGAGAAAACCCAAAAGAGAATCGGAGAAGTGAGAAGAAGCGAACTTAGAGAGAAAGAACAAATCAGAGGAGACGACGACGACGAATAAAAATGAGTGAGAGAAGTGAAAAGCGAGAGAGAGAGAAATCAGAAATGAAATTGGATGGAGGAGAAGAGTTAACGAGTGAATGTTTTTGTTTGCTAATTTTGGTACTCTTTATAATATAATCGAAATCCCTCCTTTATAATGTTTTTTCACACTTTTCTTCTCTCTGTCTTTTTCGTTTTTGATTCGTTGCTTTTTTAGCTTCCTTTTTTTTTTCTGCTTTTACCCAAAACAACAATAAAGCTAATTTTTTATTAGTATTCAGAGGTGAGAGGTCTATTTTAGTATTTTGAAATTTTCTTGCTATTTGCTACTACATACTTTCAGATATTTTTGGTAAAAGATTTAGACTTATTTTTTGGGTGGTGTTGCACAAATTTTCACTCGTACAGAGCAAAAATTCATAACTTTAGAAAGAAAAGATCAACAAGATATTTAATTTAGGAGTAAATAGTAGAGAAAAAGCTATGGACGAAAGTGAAAAACGATGATAGGGTCAACAATTGAAGGCAATAAGTGTGTTAGTTGACATTTTATCCTGATGATGTCATCCTCAGATCTCTACCGGTAATGTTATATTTTATTCATTTCTAGCTCTATTATTTTTCTTGGACTGCTCAAAGAACCTATATTATACGATTAAAATTTGCCACAAGGGGTTATAAAAGAAAAAACATTCAAATGGTAATTCCTAATCCTTGTCATCCTATGAACTTTACTCATATCTTCACTATAGCAAATTTAAGGAAGAGACTCAGGTATAGACTTTTTTTTTTTTTTTTTTTCACTGAATGATATTGATATTAGATTCGAAAAGGTTACAATACATGAGAAAGAAGAGATTAAACTACAAAGAGACACAATGCTCGACCCATAACCTATCAAGAGGAAGGGAGATTTCGATAATACATTGTAAAAACCAAACTAATCTTGTCTCAAGACTAACTAAGCTCTCGAAACTCACCATAAGGACTTCCCGCACAACAATCTATGAAGACGGGCTTCAACACTTAAGGCAAAAACAAGATAGTGGAACTTGGCCTTCTCCGAAAATGATGCATCTTTCTCAAATAATGCCTTGTCACGGGTCTCCCGGATGAACCGTAAGATAATCGAGAACCGCAAGACCTTTCAACGCCAGAACTAACAAGTATTGAAGCCAACCAAAGCTTAATACTACGGAATAATACCAAAGAGCTCAACCCCAAACTAACATCGAGTAAATTAGTCGAGGAGGAGAAGCATAAGCCCAAAAGAGGGAGACAATAGCCCAAACAAGGGGAGCAGACGACCCCAACACCACAAATGCTAAAACTTTATAAGACATTTGCAATCGATGAGGCCTAACAAACACCCACGAAAACCTACAACTAACGGCCTCAAACCGACATAGCAAATTCAATCAAAGACCATGGAGTAAAAAGGCAACGCAGATGTGGAAACAAACCGAGAAAAGAGATCGAAGAAACCACGTCGCAGATCCGCTCGATTCAAATAGAACCAAGCCGCAGAAACAGGAGCAGGTTCACCAAACACAACCTAAGCTTCCGACCACCACAGGAAAATCAGAGCACAGGCCACGACATAAGCCCTACAACTCCTCTTAAACACCTAAGCACACCGACGCTTCAAATCCGCCTCTAAAGCCGACCAGGACCAGCCATACACCTCAGATCTGAGAGACCACAACCACAAACCCTCCATAGCTCGATTGAACCATCCGTTGAGCCGAAAACTATGCCGCAAAGGAAAGAAAGGCTAAAGACACGAAGAGGAATCCGGCGGCGGCATCAGAGGCACACCAACCACCGGATTCAACCGGAACCACCACACCGATCTAGATCTGAAACAGTGTCGACTTTATCGCTTGGGGGAGAGAGAAACGAGCGAAACAGGTTGGTCTTGTCTTATGAACAGGATGACTCAGGTATAGACTATAGACTATGAAACTTTTTTTCAGAAATAAATAGGATTGCAGATTTTATTTGTTAATTTGGTAATTTGTTTTTTTTATATTTTATATTTCTACCTTGTTAATTAGTTATGATTGAATTCAGAGTGGTAATTTATTATGCAATTTATGTGTTACGGATAACGGGATAAAATAACCCAAGTATACATGGTGACGTTTTTGCAAAATCTGATCTTTTGGGTACAAGGCTACTAGATGTCGACGTAGCGTAACATCATAGTTGCTGCAAACAAAGAGACGTAAGGAAGTAAATTATTAATAAGTAGATAGATACATAATAAATAATTTAAGCGGTAAGCAAAAAATCGAGAATGTTTATGAGTTAGGTCGCATGACGTACGTAAAAAAGGGGAGCAGATCTAACATTTTGCATCTCTGACTATATTATATAGAGTTTAATCCAAAGTTGTTAAATCGTATCAAGAAGCAACACGAAAACTATTAAACAATAACTAAGACGAAAACAAAAAAAATCCTCTATAATTTTGTAGCTTTTTTTCACGAATATTGACTTGGTGAATTGAGCTAATAACCTAGCTTATAGCTTTCACACCTGAAAAATCAATTTCGATTTTTTGCATATTCAGAAAGTCCCATCAACCACAGACCGGTCAGGCTTAACCGGTGTTATTCATCAAAAACTCTGCCGATTGATTCAGTTTGGTAACCAAAATTACGTTCATCGCATCCATGAATATTTTTGCCTACCTAAGGTTAATTTAGTAAGTAACAAGTAAACCAAACCGATGCATGAATAAAAATCTAGGACCAAATGTCCGGTACGATTCTACAATACCAAAGAGTCAATATAGTAATACTAATTAAGAGGCTGAGTGGAAGATAATATCACATCAATATCATATCATATACGACTTATCAATGATAGAGAGAGTCGTTTAAGAGATTGATAAATACCCACAAATACAAATTTATGGCTGTTGAGCCACAGGAGAAGCTGCTTGCTGTTGAAGCCAACTGATGAAAACAGTCGTCCTCACTATAATTCCCTTCCTGAAAATGACATTTGATGACAATTCCATTTAGCTTACGTACCGGTTTTTGGCTGTTTACAATGAATAGGATAGATCTCGGTTTGTCTTTATCACCGCGATTTTTCAACTATACATTATTCAGTTTCTGCAAGCTGTTGTCTTATGTGTATCTAATGAAAGCTCCTAAAGTCTCTTAAACCACAGAACCTGGGATTATTTTCTTTGCTAACATCTTATCGAGATAGTACTATGTATAGACCGGGGATTAATTATAACCTAGGATTGTTCAGGGACTGACAGTAAAAACTATGGCGGTTTAAGACTAAGAACTAATGGGACTACTAATATTTATCGTTATGAAATAACGGTATCAACAAGAAGGGAGTGATCAGGATTACCTTGACTTATTGTATATCTACCGTATAGAAACTGGAACCCATAAGAGTATCAAGATGCAATGGTGTAGAAAACTTTCGTCATTCCTTTCTTTGTTCTCATCTGTGTGACCTTGAAAAACAACAAGGGAAGTGTACCCAGAAAGATGCAATTTTAGAAAACAAAAAACAAAACTAGGAAACTACAAAAAGAAAAGATATCTACTTGAGACTGGTATATTGGCTGTGTACCTTCATGGCTATGATATCAGATAAATCGGAGACATGGGTTCCACCACACGGACACCCGGGGCTGTCACCTAATTTTATGATCCGGGGAGTGCTGCCCTGAAAGAGTGAAATGGCTCAGAGACATTCCCTTTGCTATCCAATTTTCATTAATTAACTGACTAGCTTACTCTAACTGTGTAGTGTGTACCTATTACCAGACACTGCATTATGGTAAGTACCTTAGGTTCTTCCAAAATTTTTACTAACATAGATACCAAATAGATGATCTAACTTTTAAGACAGAGCAGGAATTGATATAGAAAATGGTTTATCCAACCATGGTTACAATTTACTTAACAAAGCCAAATATAATTACATCACTTAAAGAAAAGCCACTGCCTCTATATGAATTGACTGCAAATTTCTGATATAACTATAGATCAACACTGCTACAGTGCTACTCCTAGAAGAACTAGCGTAATCTAAGGATATGTCTACGAAAAATAGAAATCTGTATGCTGACTTGAGGTTTATTAGCAATGGAAGAAAGAGTTTCTATATTTGCAAATACCTTGGAAATATAATCAGGAAGATTGCCACCACAGAGCACAGATGCCTCTTCATAGGGTAATATAGCAACATAAACCTTATACAGTGTATAAGAATCATTGTTATGTTTATTAAAAAGCATAACACAAAATCGAAGAAATCCAAACACGATAAAGAGCTCTGAGGACTTACCTTTCCTCCTTTGGTTATCAGTTCATTAGCTTCTGCCTCCAACTCTTTCTGCTTCACTGCCATCTCACCCTGTGGAACGCTTCCTTTGTATTCTACAAATGGACTGATGGCATTGTAGTTAGATCACCGTTTTTATTTATCACTACGTTTAACAAAAGTTGCAAAGAGGCAAGCGGATGACAAATCCTTCAAACGAGATTCATACCCGTCCGGAAAATGGTACCCTTTTCCAGGCTCCAAATGTCCTAACCCAACTTTCTGCATACACAAATCTAGCAAATGTCCAGCTGAGTGCAACCTGAACATGGAAATGTGTTAACTTCAAGATAAAGTCTATGCACAAACAAAAAAGCTGCACAAACCAGAATCTAATTTTCAGAAATTTGTTGCTATCACATGACGCATAACAATGATACAAATCATCAACAGCCTATTTCCTCAAGCCGATTACAAAACTGCATCACTAGTGAACATCATATAACTCAAAAAGAAACAAAATTCACTTAAAATCTGCACTAGAAAATGTTCGTAAAACATAATAAGTATGTATCCAACATTTTTCATTCCAAAACTACATTCATATCATTCATCTAACTAGCCTTCTTTTTGTAGAATTACACTAACTATACTATCTAATCAAATTCAATCAAACATTATCTTGCCTGGAATTGAGTTTACGCCTTGATTCATCAACAGTCAAGTAAACTTCTTTCCCTTTCTCAATATCCATTCCACTTTCAGGATTCGAACCTTCGAACACACCGTAATGGAGAACCTACGATTTCAAAATCGAAACACACACACATCATTACAAATTCCGAATAGACTAGAACAAATCTACACAAATCACTTAAACGAGAAACGATCAGGATAGAGATTCAAACTTACAATTCCGTCTTTCGATCGAACATCTTGAACGGAAAACTTGAAATCCGAACCGGAGAAAACAATTAAACCGGTGTCTGACGGCTGGCCACCACCTTGTGGATAAAACACCGTCGATTCCAGTATTAAAGCTATGCGTCCATCTTGCGCCTGAATCAGAGAGTGAAGGATTCAGCATTGAGGTCAAAAAAGAAGACGTAGAAGAGCTCGAGAATGGTTACTATGAAGACGGACCTTAAATAAGGAGAGAAATCTGGATTGAGATTGAAGATTGAACATGTCTACATGATAATCAAGCTTCGTCGGAGGAAAATCCATAGTGATTCCGATTTCCGACGGCTTCGTCGCGGTGAAGGAGGGAGTGACCAAAGTATTGAAATCTCTAGACGACGCGGTCAACAGTCAACGAAGAAAAGTATAAAGTTAATAATATCACACTAGAGTATCAAACTATTCAAAACTTGTACTTTTCTACGTATATTTGTCAAATTGACCTAAAAGACACTTTTGCAGATATTTTACGAATTGTAATTTTATTGTTGGGCCTTGATTATTTGGGCCTTTTTAGGTTACAGCCTTGAAATATTTTATATATATATATATATATATATTTTTTTTTTTTGAGTTTTAAATAGTCTAATTGCAATTTCTTTTTCTCTGAACTGGACAAAAAAAATTATTTTTATTACAAACATTTCAGACTTTCAGTAGATTTCATATGTTTAAATGAGAACAAAATTTTTTTCTAAATAATAAATTACTTGTATATTGTTTTGAAGAGTCATTCAAATTCATACTTAAAAGTTAAAACCTTAGTATTCATAAGAAGGAAACGCGTAAAGTGTGAACGTAGAATTTTGTACTCACACTGTTACACATAAAAACATAAAATTGCAGCGACTAAAAACTCTAAAACCTTCGGATAACAAGTACAAATATTGCCTTAGGAAAACGAGTTTTTATTCAAACTTTTATCCAAAAAAAATTGCTTTGTGGCGGCGTGGCGTTGCGCCTGATATGGTTTTATCCATTTTGATTTTCTTTTGGTTTTTATAATTAGTTACAAACTTATAATGTCCATTTTGATGAAATTAGAAACCACAAATATGAACAATACACAAGAGATGTACATTAAACTCCCTTCATTAATATATGTTGGCATTTTAATAGGTAGTTTTTTTCTTCTTTGAAATAATCTCAAATCATGGAAGAAGACCTCTCATAATTGTACAAAATAAAAAGTAAATGCGTTCTATATTACTCTTATCTACCTTTGTACTGTTTTTTATTTATTTCTGGTTAGTACCTTGAAGCATAAGCAAAAACATAAAACATAACTTTTATTCACATTTTTTGGTATAAAAGAACATTATATTTCTACTTAAGATTTCGATTTGAAACATTGTACTTTCTGTAAAGAACTAGAAACTTTTCCAAAATAATAAGTATTCATTTATGAAAAAATAAAAATTTACGAATTTGTAAAATTGTGTGGATGGTTGGTGGATATGATTTTAGTAAATCATCGATAAAAACCACCGTAAAGTGACATACAAATTAGTGGATGTCTCTATCAAAAACACTTAGCGCATTAAATCATCCTTAGATCTGAAGCTAACAAAAGCCCACTTGTAAAGATGTCTATTTACGACACCCTTTTAAGTCAAGTGGCATTATTCGTAATTAGACTCATCTTCTAATGGCATTTCAATAAGCTTCTTCTCTTTTAAAACCTTTTCCTTTATCTCACTCTCTCTTTCTTCAAAGTTCGTGCACAGAGCAAGCTAAAGCTACAGTCTACAGAAAAAAATGAGAGGATTCTCCAGAAACTCCGGCGCGGCGGCGATTTTCGCGATTCTAGTAATCCTCACCGTTCAATTCTGTTCCGTCACCGTATCTTCTCAATCCATCGAATTCGCTGGAGATTTCCCTCCATTTGAAACAGAGTGTCGTGGTACAATTGCCGAGTGCTCAGTTTCCGCCGCCCTCGGAGACGGAGGAGATCTATTCTACGGCGGAGGAGAAATGGGAGCGGAGTTCGAGATGGACTCAGAGATCAACCGGCGCATATTAGCGACGAGGAGGTACATCAGCTATGGTGCGCTGAGGAGAAACACTGTTCCGTGCTCACGTCGCGGCGCATCTTACTACAATTGTCGACGTGGCGCTCAGGCCAATCCTTACTCTCGCGGTTGCAGCACCATCACTCGCTGCCGGCGCTGAATCTGTCACTGTCTTCACTGTAATTTCTTTCTTCTTAAAATTCTTTTTCTTTTTTCTGATATATAATTTTTCAGAAATTTCTCTTTTTCTTTTGTTATGGTTTATATTTTTAAGTTCATTGCGCATTAGAATTTTCTCATACACATAATTGTATCTGTAAATGTTTCTGGGAATTATCTCTATTATTGAATATTGATGTAAGTTTGTTTACATTAACCAGGAAAAAATTATGGAATAAATACATTATAATTAATAGTATCATCAGTGATAAACGAATGTGTTTAAGTAATTTTGTATTTAAGTGGAATATTGATAGCCAGGTAATTCGTATTATATATGAATATTGTATATGGATTTTTTTCGTATTCATGGATGCATGCATGTGCCGGAGAAATACCAGATGCTAAATAAAATAAAAATTCTAATTTATGATCTCTAACTAAATAAAATACTAGTAATAAACTAGTATTTATTTTATTTTATTTTGCGACTATTAATGGATAATAAAGTGGCGATAATAGGATTTGGTTGGGAGCCAACTAAAGCCAGCTTCACGCATCTCTTTCGGCAGAGCCACACGTGTAGGATAATCTGTAATGTTGATTTTATTTTGCACACTATGAATTAATAACATGAATTTCTTCTATATGAAATTTGTTGTCACGGGGACTCCTACCTATAAGCAAAACACATAAGCTCTTCGTGATTAACGAAATTGACCATTACCAAAAAAAGGTTGTTGTATGAAAAAAATTAAAAGAAAAAGAAAAACGTTACATTAATTTAAAAGAAAAAAACAGATGGTTAAGGACCCATTTGAAACATTCAATATCACAACTAACAATTCAATTAGAGATACTTTTGATTTATTGCACTCAAAATCTAACGGGCCTTATACTTCCTCTTGTCACATTTTAACATAAGTTAAAATCACCAAAAGTTTGGACCACTACTTCCCCATCACTCACTGGACAGCCAAGAGGTAAACAATCTCGTCACCGATTGTTATACATTTTGAATTATTATATGTAAATATTGATCCAATAATGAAGCTCATACATACAATAATTTTATATAGATGTAATAAGTCTCTATCGTGTGCATATGAACAAGAAACGACAAGGACATCTTCCGCATCCTTGTCACGCGGACTTAGCTTTCCCACACACTTATACAAATTCTCCCTTACAAATAGCATTGTTTAAAATTTTATTTCTTTTGGCAGATTCAATACAAATGGTCACATCAAAATTCTGCAGCTGGCATTTGATATCTTATTGTTATTTTGGGATCAGTGAACTATTAATATATTAGGATATTAAAAACACGAGTTCATGTACCTACCATCTATTCATATATCAGGTAAATACACGATGTGATTCCAATGGAGTATAGATCAAGCAACGACTCTTTGGACCAGTAGACTTGTATGAGCTATCTCAAGCGATGGACTCGGATCGGCCCAATGCTAGTCAAACATACATAACCGATTCAAAATAATAAACCATGATGAGTTTTTATATATCTCTTAGTTTTGGTCCAATAAGTAAGTACAAACTTGATCCTTTAAACCAACCAAACATCAATCTCAAGAATTTCATAGTTTTCTTCGGCAAATGCTGCCAATTAAGCTTTGATAATAACTTATGTGTGTGAACCGTTTTAAACCTGAATTGGAGTTGAAATGAGAAGAAAATAAAGAGAAGAAGCAAAAATATCAACTATAACAGTGTCATTATGTTTGTTAACAAGAATACTAGTGTTTTGCAAAACAAACCAAGAAACAAGACTAAAACCCTCCAAGCAAATAAATATAGAAGTTTCTACTTATAAAGAGCAACCTAAAATTCTTTAAGTTGATCGAGTAGCTCATTTGCTGCTTCATACCTTATCACCTTTCGCAGAGCGTTTTCGAGGTGGCAATACGCGGGAAAGGTGGAAATTGGAAAACCTTTGTCATCCATCTCCTCGTGAAGCAACAAAGCTCTCACCACTCTACTTGTTTTACAAGAACCATCTTATCAAACCAAGAAACATGTGATTTCGACTCAAATAGATTGATTAAGAACATCAAATCAGGAGTCAATCTATCTCTAAGCATGTGATATGTTTGACAGGTTTGACCCTAGCAGAACTGGGTCGCATATGGGCCGAATTAACTTATAAAGACTTTTAAATTTACTTCTAGCCTAGTCCGGATCGGAATACAGCTACACTAGTCCCAGCCTGTTTTGGCACACCACAAACATCACTGGTTTATGTTCTTTAATCAAGAAGGCAAATTCATAAATACAAAATCAATCCATTAAACTAACAGAACAACAGTACATCTTTTTCTAGGTTTCAGTTGTGGTGGGAAAAAACACCAAGTCCGGTCCGAATCCAAAATAAGCTTGTCCAGAAAAAATCCAAAATTGAAAAGTCCGAGAAAAACTTAATATCAACAGTGTAACCCGAAAAAAATTGTCGGATTCTCAAAAAAATCGTCGCTAACATCTTTAATGATATGTAAATCTGTATTTTTACGGGTTCCAGAAATTCGGCCTATGATTTCTCCCGTTCACCAAAAAAAATAGAAGACATAACTAATCAAAATATAAAAAAATTATGAGCAAAACATAAGCAATATCGGTTTTCTATCTTGATACTACTAATATTTTAATTCAATTGGTAACCATAATTTAGGAAAAAAATGAGAAAGAATGTGATATTCCTCTTTGTTCTTCAATTGGTAACAAATGCAGACGTCAGGCGAGAAACCTTGCCCTAGGAGTGGGTTTGCGAGTGGCGTTTCCGGGGAAAACATATTGATATTTGGAGGTGAGACTGGGAGTGAAGCTCGCACGGGTGGTCAAGTGTTCAGTGGGTTATATTCATTGCCAAGACCTTGAAATGGGAGAGGGTTGATAAGTTTAGTGCAAGAGTCAGTCCAAGTCCCTGGGGGTTGTGCGCATCAACAACTTCCTCCCTGGATCGCAATGAGGGGATGTTAAGTTTTGGTGGGAAGACAGGCTTTGACGGTATATCTGATGACTTTTTCTTTTACCAAGTTGTTTCTACCTAGAGACATATTGATATTGATATCTCCTCTTTTATCTTGTTGAACTTTATTCTCTTGCTCTCTTTCTATTAAGTTCATGGTTTGTGTGTTTAAATACTTTGTGTGGTACTTTAGCTATTTGCATGCAATAAATATTCTCTTGTTTTATTTTAAAATCTTAATAATTCAGTAAGCACATAATAAAGCGGCTTATCAGCTGCAATAATGAAGTGTGTAGCCATTGCGGAATTAATCTGTAATCATATCCTATGAAACGTAACCCTTTCTTGTCTTGGAAGTAATGAAATTGACTAGTCCAAAACGAAATTTGTATCTGATTATTGGGGGAGATCTTGTCATGGGCCTAATAAAAGGAAAAAAATTTATGGGCGGCTCTACATCCAGCCCAACAAGAGTTTCGGATAATCCATGAGGAATTGGAATGTCTCATTATCATTCATTAATTCCAAGATAAGATTATGCAAGTATTCGACGTATTAGTGGGGGTTTTAGAAGAGTTTTATAATTTTAAAATAAAATATTAATGATTATTTGGTAAGATTTGTTGTAAATTTCATAAGATTTTGTGTTCACATTCCAATTCAATATTCTGTTCACATTTGTGATGCTGTTCGTTGTCCGTTGCTTTAAAGTTTCTCGAATACCTCCGCTAAATTCTACAAAGTGATTAAGTGACAACAAAACTTCTAATCTAAGCTTAATAGGAATCTTAAACACAGTTAACAGAAGAAACTAAAAGAGAAGTCCTAAAATAAAACATTTGGCATCAGAAATAAACATTTGGATTTACTTCTGATGCTCCATGACAGAGAAAGGCGCTGCATGTGGAGTTTAGTGTTCGGATACAAGCATTTGGCAACACAAAAGATGAACTCCTAAATTTGTAGATTCCGGAGATAACTGCATTTACAAGTTGCAGTCCTGAAAAGGATAAACATCGTGTCGTCCAGGAGGTAATTTTATTCTCTTACTTGATGAATTAATGGGGCACAAGTGGTAAGACTGAGTTTTCTAGTGCAAAGGGACATGCCTAGGTATCTGATAGGAAGGGATCCATGAGTTAGTCCTGTGGTGTTACTGATGAGTACGCTTTCTTCTGCACATAGGCATGCAGAGAAGAAGCAGGTTTTTGGGACACTAACTGCAAGGGCGGATAGTGTTTCAAACTCCCTGAGGACCTGAAGAACATTATGAATTGATTGAAGAGAATTATCAGTGAAGATAAGAAGGTTGTCTTCAAAACAAAGCTGAGTAAGCTTTGATTTCTGACACTAGTGGTGGTAGCTAAATTTTCATTCCTCAGAAGCTTTGTTCAAAATGTGTGATAGACAATTCAAAGAATGACAAAAAGATAGGGAGAGGATCCCCCTGTTTCAGACCTCTTTTGACCTTAAAGTAGAGCCTTAAATCATTCCATTGAATCCTATAGAAAATGATGGAGTACATGTGCAACCCTATAACCTTGTAGATATTGTAAAACGATATTTGATGTTAAGCTCTTGACAACCAAACGTATTAACCTCAATAACCTCTTTATTAGTTTAAGAAAATCTCTCAAAACTTAAACTCTCTCACAATACAATATGCCATTACTCGACATCTCTATTTATACAAGAAGTAAAACCTAATCCTATAAGGATTCTCAATATATTGGATAACTCCCAATATATTCAACCTTATCTCTTAATAACCATCACTCGGTTTACTTGGTTTAGGATTACTTCTTCTCCAAGATATCAAGCTTAACCAACATTTTCCCTCCTAAGCTTGAAATCACTTCCAATGTCTCTTACACCAATAAGCTCCTTCATCTCCTTGAACTTTATCCTTCCAAGCGCCTTTGTCAAAATGTCGGCCTTCTGCTCATCTCCGGGAACATGTTCCACTTCCACTAGACCATTCTCAACACATTCTCTTATGAAATGATACCGCTTGTGGATGTGTTTACTCCGTCCATGAAACACTGGATTTTTTGTAAGAGCAATCGCCGATTGATTGTCTATTCGAATGATGACCTTCTCACATGTTGACTCCATGATTTCACTAAGCAAGTCTTGAAGCCATATCGCCTGTCTTGCTGCCTCCGTAGCCGCCATAAACTCAGCCTCACACGACGAAAGAGCCACAGTTTCTTGTTTGTGAGAGCACCAAGAGATCAAGCTCCCACCAAGATAGAACACATGTCCAGTCGT